TTTAAAAATGTGTCCGATGACCCCGCCCACGAACCAAGATGGCCGACATGGCTAAAGAATAGTACATAGGGTAAAATGCAGTTTTTGGCTCATATCTCTGAAACCAAAGCATTTAGAGCAAATCTGACAGGATAAAATTGTTCATAAGGTCAAGATCTATCTGCCCTGAAATTTTCAGACCAATCAGGCACCACGTTGTTGGGTTGCTGCCCCTGAATTGGCAATTTTAAGAAAATTTTGCAGCTTTTGGTTATTATCTTGAATATTATTATAGATAGAGAAAAACTGTAAACAGCAATAATGTACAGCAAAGTAAGATCTACAAATAAGTCAACATGACCAAAATTGTCAATTGACCCCTTAAGGAGTTATTGCCCTTTATAGTCAATTTTTTACAATTTTCATAAATTTTGTAAATTTTTGTAAATTTTTACAAAATATTTTCCACTGTAACTACTGGGCCAAGTTCATTATAGATAGAGATAATTGTAAGCAGCAAGAATGTTCAGTAAAGTAAGATCTACAAACACATCACCATCACCAAAACACAATTTTGTCATGAATCCATCTGTGTCCTTTGTTTAATATGCACATATACCAAGGTGAGCGACACAGGCTCTTTAGAGCCTCTAGTTTAATACCCCTTCCAAATGTATTTCTTCATGTTTTATGCCTCAAATAGCAAGTAGGGGGATGAAATAACACTGTAAAAAAATTTGGGTCATGAATTTTAAAGTAAAGTAGTGATTTGGTCCAGCTGAAAAAGGTTAAAAATTAGCACTTCGGAAGCTGTCAAAAGATTTCAAGACCCCCTTAACATAGAATTGTCCATATTTTGAGTTAGAGCCGATGAAGTTTTCTATAATTTTGATATAATTTGTCCCAAAAGTAGTACAACACACTGTAAAAATATTATTGAGAAAGCGCAGGTGGGATTTTTTTTATTTTCATTTATTGTCTAAAAGAAATGCACTACGAAATAACTGTGTACTCGGACCTAAGAATTAATATTGCAAAATTCCCTACCTTTGGACTGGGACTATTATACTAAGTATAATAGTCCCAGCTTTGGATGATAACAAAGAAATTTTTCAGTAAGATAAGAAATGAAAAGAGAAAACAATATTGAAAAAGTATGGTCAGAAAGAATATCCCAGCAAACAATATTATGTCATAATTACGTCGGGACAATGTAATTTTTTCGTCGCATTGACGTCAGGTTATTACGTTGTATTTATGTAAAAGTGTATGGTTTTCTTGACGTTGTCACAACGTCATACATCAACGTTGTGGTGACGTAAAATTACGTTTCTACAACGTTATTCCTGACATTACAACAACGTTAATATCACGTTATATCAACGTAATATACTTGCACTTTTATATTATGCTATATAATTGGCCCAAAAATGATCATCTATATACATACATAGTATCAACTGTGTTTGTGACCATGAGGTGACCTCTGCAGGATGATACATGTTGGTGTCAATTCTCAGAAGGAATTAGTATATCCGGCATTATCATCATCTGTTTTTATTATATTATAAGCAAAACAATTTTTTTGTGTAGCTTTAATCGGATTACTGTTTCAGTAATTTGGATATTACAGAAAGGAATTGTATTGTGTTTTGGGGCCATCCATAGCTGACTGCCTGTTCGTATGCAGTTCTTGGTAGTTCCTGCTTGTAAAAATTATATGCATTTGTCATATATGTTACTCTATAAATGGGATGTTCCCCCTGTCCCCCTAAACCCGCCTTTGATTAGTATCAATTTCTCATTTAGCATGTTCACGTTATGAATATGTATCTGACTAGCTAAACACCCACCCATGAAAGTTTTATAAAAAAAATAAAAATAAAAAATAAAAGATGCATGTACTAGTATATCAAAAAGTGAAGAATTGATCGTTAACTTTGTTTATTCTAAACTACTGAACGTTGCTTCTGGGTCCTTGGCATGTCCTGCACTGCTTCTTGTACCCTCTTAGCAATTGGTTCCTGCAATGACAATAAAAAACTTATTTGTACAAAAACTGAAATTGTAATTATTCTATAGGTCTAGTAACATTATTGCAAATAAATACAAGATGTAGTTGTGTGTAAGACGTGGCTTTCCAAATCTCTTTGAAGAACACATAAACCACATAATTATATATTCAGTCAAATTTAATGTTACCCTTTATTGTCTAAATAGAGCATCTTGATCTTCACAATACTAGTTACAAATACATATTTATAATAACAATTTCGTACTGAATTTAAAAATAACCAACTGTTATTTTCAACATAGAATACAAACAATAAAAATTTTGTTTAATAATCCCAAATTGAAGGTTGCACTATACGGGGTAAATGAGGGCATTCTTATCTTATAGCGTGTTCCGCCTGGTTTCCCCAATCAATTCATCGACATCTGATGCCCTTGCTGACGGGTAGTTCTTCATGTAAGCCTCTACAAAAATTGACATTGATAAAATTTGCATAATGATATTTAACATAATTTTAAAAAAACCAACCTTATCAATTATAATAATAAAATATATTTATTTATTGGAAGTATAAGTAAATACTTTTAATAAAATAAACAGCAGCTATTCTTATATACATTTAGGACCGTCAATCTGTTACTATTATACCAATAGTCCCAGCGTCAATGTGATATATCAGATATACTATATATATATAAACTTTACAAAAAACCGGCAAAATAACAAATTCACAATATTGCTGGCGCGGGAAAAATAGCAATTGCTATTGAATTATGCTATTTATAGCTCACTTTTAATCAAAAAAAATATTATAATCAAATCATAATTAATGTTTCGCTGGCAAAATAGCCACTGCCAAAATATAAAAATTTAAATATAATTGAAAATTAAGATCAATAAATATACGTTTTACATTTACAAATTTGCCATATGATAATAAGAGGAGCAGCGGTATTAATTTTTTGTAAATTATATTGTCCCTTGCGAAAAATATAATGTTGATTTTAGTAAAAAAAAAAGTCAGGTTGCTATTATCAGTTTCATAAAGTCTCTTAAGGGAACATTTATGTTTTGTATTCCTTCATTCTAAATTTTTATCGGTTCTTTAAGAGTTCAATGCATGAGACAAACTATCTTGTAAATACACTGCATGTGTCTGTTTATACATGTTATAAAGGAAACATGATCTGGCAAATAAATAACACTGTGATAGCTTGCTATCCTGACCTCAATTAGAATCAAATTAGCTGCACGTGTGTAAGGTTTCTGCAGACGAAATTTACAAAAGTTAATGAATACATGTTGAGTGTTACACTAATAAAATTATAATATAAAGCAAGATATATATGTAAAACACAATTAAATTCCTGTTTTCCAAAATGGTTTTAGATATTACATCATGCACGTGTAAAACCAGAACAGTCGTGCGATATATATATATATGTGTAGGTCAGATACATTTAAGATTGGTTCAGTTTTGAATTGTTTATTGTTCATTTATATACGATAGTAGATAAATGTTTATCGTGTAGTATATATTATTCTGTTCATATATATAATAGAAACTTTCTAAAAAGTGAGAAAAAAACAACAGTGAAACAATACAAAGATAAATTTACTTACATTGAATCTGAGTGCAGTTCGAAAGAGACGTGGCTTGCTGAATGGCGCTAAAATTTCATACACAATCACGACACAGTCGCACCCATTATCTGGGCAAAAATTCAAAACAGATCCGCGTATATATATATATCTGTAAAATTCCATATTCATGCCTTATATATCATGTACTGTATTACGATGCTAGATTAAAACTGACGAGGAAAGGTAACACCCGGTCACCGAAAGCTTTATTTTTAAAGCCTAGGTGGTCGTGTGGTCTAGCGCGTCGGATACAGTGCAGGCGATTTGGTGTCACAATATCTCAGTAGCATGAGTTCGAATCCCGGCGAGGGAAGAACAAAAAATTTGCGAAAGCAAATTTACAGATCTAACATTGTTGGGCTGATGTTTAGACGAGTTGTATATATATATATATATATATATATATATAGATTTAAAACTAATCAATATCGTTCAATAGTTCAATAAAAGAACAGAAAAAAAGTGAAATTTAAATTGAGTACAACAAAAGAAAAAAAAAAGAAACTTTGCTATTTTGCTATTGTAAATTTTAGGAATGTCGATAATTACGACGCAACAACGTTTTAATTACGTGATTTATTTGATCGGATACAGTACATATTGCAGTTGTTTATTTCTTATTTTTTTATTATTGCAATGTATTATTGATGACAAAAACATAGTTCCTCTTTTATAACAGCGTAAAAATCAACTTAATATTTTATCGACCAAAAATATGACGACGTTGCTATAACGTTACAGATACGTGACAGATGCGTCGCAATATGACATTGCAACAACGTAAGATGGACATTATTAAAAACAATAACAACTTTGTCCTGACTTCTCTTCTACGTCGTATCTGACGTGACGTAAAATTACATTCTCACAACGTTGCAGCAATGTCATACTAACGTAACGTCAGTCATAACCTTCCAGCGACCAATACATAACATCGCAAGGACGTCGTGTGTTTCCTGGGATCAGACTAGCTATGAATATGGCTGGATCACAACATCGACGATGCTTTGATTTGTTTCTGTTCTCTAACTTTAGTTTGCCTCAACCAAATTTTATGAAACTTATACACAATGCTTATTTCCACAAAAAACAGATCAAGATTGAAATTGGGTGGTGTCACTTTTACCGTTCTTGAGTTGTGCTCCTTTATAAATGGAAAAATTGCTAAATCTGTCGTTTCTGTTCTCTAACTTTAGTTTGCCTCAACCAAATGTTATGAAAGTTATACACAATGCTTATTATCACAAAACGGTCTTAACTACGTGAATCCTGCATCTGTATGTGAAAGTTGACTCATGCATATTTACAAGCAGGGGCATCTGTGGCCCATAGACACATTCTCCATTTATTTTTCATATTACAGTATGGTAGCTGATACTGTGGTTTTTAATTCCAAATACAACATGGAATCATTTTTATCATCGATTAGGACCTTTCTGAACTTAATACCTGATCACAGACCAAAGGCATTAGATGATGCCATCAGACCAAAATGTCAGGTCTTGTACTTTCCTTTGGACCTTTCAGGTAATATAATGACAGGTCTTTTACTTTCCTTTGGACCTTCCAGGTAATATAATGTCAGATCTTGTACTTTCCTTTGGACCTTTCAGGTAATATAATGTCAGGTCTTGTACTTTCCTTTGGACCTTTCAGGTAATATAATGACAGGTCTTTTACTTTCCTTTGGACCTTCCAGGTAATATAATGTCAGATCTTGTACTTTCCTTTGGACCTTTCAGGTAATATAATGTCAGGTCTTGTACTTTCCTTTGGACCTTCCAGGTAATATAATGTCTGAAAAAAGTTAATGATATCTTCAGTCATAACTTTTTATAGCAAACACATTCACGATCTATGAGAACGTAACTTTTTTTAAAGACATGTTTGAAAGACTTTCGATTCCAGACTGGATCAAACAAAACTCTTTTGATATAAATAAGAAGATGTGGTATGAGTGCCAATGAGACAATTATCCATCCAAGTCACAATGTGTTAAAAGTAAACAATTATAGGTCAAATTACGGCCTTAAACACGGAGCCTTGGCTCACACCGAACAGCAAGCTATAATGGGCCCCAAAAAGACTAGTGTAAAACAATTCAAACAGGAAAACCAACGGTCTAATCTATATAAAAAACGAGAAACACTTATGAACCACACCAACAAACGACAACCACTGAACAACAAGCTCCTTACTTAGGACAGGTGCATAAAAATGCAGCGGGTTATTTGCTACTTTTCTCATGATCATAAACATTTGGGAGTATGAGCAAAGAACTTTGGCTCTTAGTCCTAGTAATGGGTTTGAACAGGTTTTCTGTGAACTTTTACCTTTTAATCTAGCATATGAATAATCCAGGTCAGCATATTGGTTCAGTACAAAGCAGGCTGTATCATATCATTTACATATTAATGTCCTATATATTCATATAATATGTGCCACTAGATATCAAGAAGTCACTATTGAAAAGATAAGTTAATAAAGAATTCAATTTTGAATTAAAAAAATGAAAAGATGATTGGGAATATAACATTTGTACCAGTTGTCAGTAACCACCTCAAGCATGAAATCCTTATGATGTATTCCAGTATTTTGTCATACTACGTTTCAAAATATAGCACTTGATTGTTTGATGCTTTTGTATGATGTAGTGAATAATTAATTAAATACAACACGTTGATGTCTATTGCCTATTTTGTTTTTTATTAGACAGGAATGGTGATCAATCCATAGAGGGTTTGAAGCCATCTGCTCATATAAACAACACTGATAACATATTATCAGATAGCCAAGGTCAAATTGGAGATCAGCTGATTAAATCTCAGGACTCTGACATAAAGGATAAGGAAGACAACATGACATGTGCCAAAGACCCATGTTCGCCTGAAGCAAAGCATAACTTTGTGAAGCCACTTCATATTGTTTGGGCACACAGATGGTAAACATATATTTGTTTAAATGTCTTTCTTATATATGTCCCATGACCTCATTTTATGTTTCAGGGCTCTGGTTTAAGTTGTGGATTATCTGCATCTCAGAAACTTCACATATGTCAACTTATGTTAGTGAGTATTCAGTTGTTTGGAAATACTTTAAAATAGGCATCATATTTTATTGTCAAAACTCACATGGCTTATTTGTTATGCTGAAAAAAGCCTAATTTGAGATTTATGTTTAATATCTTTTGGTGATGCAATTTAATTTTTAGTGATGTACAGGATAATTTGAATGCTATTACATTGCTGATCATTATTGAAAAGATTGATTTTCTTGCTGAATATTTATTTCTGTGTCCCTGTCTCTCAATGGATTGGACATATAGTGTTACCTGTGTCTGTCCTTCTATGGTTGTATCCTGCTCCAAAAGAAGGGGTATACTGGTTTACCTCTGTCTGTCTGTCTGTAACACATTTCTTTTTCATTTTTCTTAAAAATTACAAATTAGAGCTTCTTTATATAGTACCAAGGTTTATATTAGTAAGCTTTATGGTGTGACTGTCACTTATCTTCTTCCTGTTTGAAACCTTCATGTATGTTCTTCACATAGCTGCAAGTAAAAGAAATGTTTTCACATTTTTCTCAGCAACTATAAATCAGGTCTTTTTAATACATGTACTAGGTACAAACTTTCACATAGGAAAGGACTGTGACAAATTTTCAGATATGTCATTTATCTGCATCCTGTTTGGTGCATTGATACACACACAAGAACTTTGCTTTATAAGTGTATAATGGTGACTAACAAAATTGAGTTTATTTTTTGTTCCTGATGACATGCTTTTAACAAAATTGCAGAGTCCTTCTGTTATTCTATTGATGGGGCATTCAGATATTTAATTTGGTTTAACCAATTACTATGTCATTGCTTTTAACAGTTACGAACTACAAATGACTGCCACTAACTTAAGGTTTCATACCATACATATAAAAATAAGGAGATGTGGTATGATTGCCAATGAGACAACTATCCACCCAAGTTCAAATGAAGTGGATGTAAGCAAACATAGGCAACCATATAGCCTTCAACAATAAGAAACACCCATATGGTGATACCATATAGTTAGCTATAAAAGGCCCTGACATGAAAAATATGAAACAATTTAATTGATAAAAGCTAACCACCTAATTTATAACAAAACAATTTACAAAAAACTAATATGACAGACATGAACCAATGACATCCACTGAAATACAGGCTCCTGACTTGGGACAAGTACACACAGAATGTGGTGGGGCTAAACATGTTTTTGAGCGCACAACCCTCCCCTAACCTGGGACAGTGGTGTTACAGCACAACATAAGAATAAACTATAAAAATCATTTTCCCTATTAATTAAAAAGGGATAAACTCATCAGATCGATACAAAGCAGAAAGAAATCTAACACTCATTTGGACGGGACGTGGCAGGGTATTTATACATCCCCAACAACACAAAACGTACATAGTACAGATCTGAGAGTACTTGCGGTTACTGACAGCTAGTTCAAAGCCAATAACAACTTATAAAAAAATCATGTATTAAAGACTAAAATATCAATTAGTACATATCCAACATCCAATGTATTTAGTGTAAAGATGTCATTAACAGTCAGGGAAAAACATGACCTTGTGCAATGCCAAAATATAGGTATTGACAGATTGTAGTACTGTGAAAGTGCATATGTGCATTTCCCCCACAATATTTATTTGCAAATACCCTGTTTAAAAGTGATGAAAATAGAAATTTGATGATTATTTTCAGGTGGTCATAAATTTAAGGGCATAAATATATTTTGCAGGGAGCATGACAAAGATCCAGATACATTTTTTGAGGTTGTGACATCATTATCTGAAAGTGGAAGGGAATTTGATTTGTCTGTACTTGGTGAACAGTATACAGACATACCAGGTAATAATTGAGGATGCAGGAGCCCCTATAGTTTTCACTTTATCCATCTGTCTTTCAACAGTTTTTGTAAATGCAAAAACTCCAAATTATAATTAGGATGTGTATAATATTTGTATAGTTGCTGTGCATTATGTAGATCTGCTTATGATTTGTTGTTAAAATTGGAAAATTTATTTTTGTATGTAGAATTAATATGTTTTAGAAATAAGTTTAGGAAAAAAAATATTCTTAAGCATGATTGGGAAGTGAATGCATAGAAATTTCCTTCCTGCAAGGATTTCAATGAAAAATTGATATACATACCAAGGCTTCCAAAACGGTCATATAGTCCGGACATTTGTATAATGTCGGGTAAAAGTCCAGCTGGGCAAAGCATGAAACGGTCATCTACTTTTTAGTTTTCAAGGCCTTCTTAAGAGACGGTCATTTTAACATAATTCGCGATCTTTTTGCCTTTAACAACCACACATTTGCCTGTACATGTATATATTAAATGATATCCCAAATTGATAACTGTCTAATATTAGCCCTTGTAGAACCTTCTTATCATTTTAATTAGTCCCCTACTGATGAAGTCGAAGGGGACTTTAGGTTTGCACTCCCTCTGTCTGTCTGTGTCTGTCCATCCGTCAGTCCGGATAATCAGTTTTCCACACTTTTTTTCTTTATGCTTGAAGGTATTGATTTGATATTTGGTGTATTGTTTTGTCATGACAAGTTACAGATCAAGTTCAAATTTTGTTCTGGTCTGATGATTTTGTGCAGAGTTATGGTCCTTTGACTTAGAAAATTCACTAAAATAATCAGTTTTCCGCACTTTTTTTTGTCATTCTTGAAGATATTGATTTGATAATTGGTATATAGTTTTATCATGACAAGTTACAGTTCAAGTTTGAATTTTGTTCTGGTCTGATGATTTTGTGCAGAGTTATGGTCCTTGGACTTACAAAATTCACTTAAATAATCAGTTTTCAACACTTTTTTTCGTCATGCTAGAAAATATTGACTTGATATTTGTTATACTGTAAACTGGGAAATTTTCGCGCCGTCTTTATTTCGCGATTTATAAACACAACCTAAATTCGCGCTGTTTTGAATTCGCAATTTTCCTGTGGCCTATATAAATATTTTCATAAATGATTTAGAAAGTGAACAGTTTTACATGTATCGTAAATCAAGTGATAAAAATCAATCAGAAAGCTTTTGTTTTCGGTTCATTAATGTTAAAGGAGATTAAAAGTTGTGTCATGTTTGCTTGTAAAAACACATACACAATTACAGAAAGGAAGACCTAATTAAGAGTGAATTAAAATAAAATGTTGTCAGGATTAATGCTAATTAATCGATCTTTTGATCTAATTGATCTGTGTCGCAGATTCAACCAGGTAATACTTTTAAAAATGATTGACAGGTGTCATTTACATATTTGTAATGAGTGTTGTTTACATAAGAATATTCGTAATGTCCACTTGCTTGAGATGTCTTCCATGTTAATATGATTAGCTTGAGTTAAAGTCATAATTTCTTGCATTCCTTTTCATTTAGAAATACAGTTATAATTTGAGATATAGATCTTTCGTCAGACTCTGTAAAATCGCTGTTATACAGTGGTCCTCTACATCATATCCTATTCATATACGTACATGTATGGTCTTCATCTTATGAATTGAGTTTCCTTGAAATTTTCGCGGTCGTTTAATTTTCGTGTTTCAATTCTTACCGCGAAAATAGCGAAAATTTCCCTGTTTACAGTATATAGTTTACACCATGACAAGTTATAGATCAAGTTAGAATTTTGTTCCAATACTATGAATTTTTAACCGGTTGGGGACTATGTATTGCCATGCAATACTCACAGAATGCTTGTTGTTAATAGTTTATCCTTCTGTATATACATGATCAAATTGCCACTGTAGGTTAAGCAAGCAACAACCAATCTAATATAAGCTGTTGGTCACCATTTTTCAAATGACCAGCAAAATATGTAAACATTAAAAATGCTCAGATTTCAATAAGAATTTAAAATGTTCATAGAACATGTTATGTGCTGAAATGTTCCAAGGTGTAAAAAGTTTTTCAACAGCCACCATGCTGAAAATTGCTGTCAAAATATGATATGTTCAAAGCAATAGGAATTCAGAGAAATTTGATATCTAGAATAGAATATTATATTTTGAATTAATTTCTAGTGTAAAAAAATATTTTTCAGCTCCCATTTAAAAAAACTTTTTTTTTCCTTTCAATATCTTCTGGTTACACTGATTAAGTTTCTGTTGATGTATACCCCACATCTACTTTTCTCATATTATAAGAATAGTTAATAAACCTATCTTAAAAACTGTACCTTCTTTTCTTTCTTATCAGACTTTACATTCTTAATTCCACTAATGGTGGTACAATGTATTGATAGCTTAATTGAGCCAAAGGACAATCAATAAATATATTATTGAAAATGTAAAAGAATTACCTTATAATGCTAGGAGTGTCAAACCAACAATATAATTCACCAAGATTAAAAGTAAAAAGATATATGAAGATGTGGTATGAGTGCCAATGAGACAACTCTCCATCCAAGTCAAAATTTATAAAAGTAAACCATTTTATATGTCACTATATGACACTCCAAAGTGAGGACATCCAGACACTATGACTGTTGAAAGGTAACTGTTTTTGAACTGCATTTTAGTTCCCGCAATCACCTGATTGTTACTTCCAGTTAAAACTAAAACCACAAAATAAATATATCACAATGACTTCACTAGAATAGCAACATATTTAAATAAGAAGATGATGTATTGTACATTGTATTTTACAAATTTAGAGGTATTTGATAGTGCAAAAGAGAAGTTACAAAGACATATAGTGAATTGGGGCTACCAGGAGAGCAGAAAAGACTATATTGACATACTGAAGTCAGCTGATGTAGTAGTATCAACTGCATTACATGAATTTTTTGGAGTTTCAATGTAAGTATACCAAGATAATTTCCATAATATCAATTGTTTGTGTATAAATAAAACATGGGAGGGCTCATTCAAAGCATCTGAGAAGAAGTGCTGTCTAAATAAAAGTGTATCCGGAGAATTTAGTACCGGTAACAGCTAACATGCATAAGCAGATACTGTTATATGTTCCCTGGACAACAATGAATTTAAACATAAAACAATCTTAAGCTTCTCAGACCAAATTGGCAATGTAAAATTGTATTTTATATGTATTTAACATCTAGCCACAATTTTTAACTTAGCTAAATTAAGCAGTTGTTAAACATTTAAAAATTTTAAATAGTGAATATCAGATTATTTTGTACAGTAGAGTAAAGTATTAATCAAAAATGTTTGTATATACATTCAATCGTTGAGTAAGTCTAACACTATCAAATTACAATGTATGTAATTATATAAAAAAACTGCATGAAATATAAGATCTCATATAGTTTCATAACCCTACATTTGTCATAGTTTTTATACGACTGCAAACATTTTTTTGCGTTGGTATAATGCTATCATGTCGTTGGCGTCGTCTGAAGACACATTTGGTTTCTGGACAATTACTTTAGTTTAGATGAATGGATCTCAATGAAATTTTACCAGAAGGTTCAATACCACAAAAGGAAGGTTGGGATTGATTTTGGGGGTTATGGTGCCAACAGTTTAGGAATAAGGGGCCAAAAGGAGCCAAAAACAAGCATTTTTGTAGTTTCCAGACAATAACTTGTGTGTGAGTGTATGGATCTCTCTGAAATTTTACCACAAGGTTCCATATCACAAAGGGAAGGCTGGGATTGAGATTGGGGGTAATTGCCTTAAACCTTCATGAATTAGGGGCAAACAAGGGGTAAAAAACAAGCATTTTTTCTAGTTTCCAGATAATAACTTGTGTTTAAGTGTATGGATCTCTCTGAAATTATACTACAAGGTTCCATATCACAAAGGGAAGGCTGGGATTGAGTTTTTTGGGGGTTCATACTTTTTTCTTCAAGATTTTTTCAAAATTTCAAATTTTTTCCAAAAAATTATTTTAGGGGTTTTTTTTTCATAATTTTTTGGGTTTTTTTTTCCTAAATATTTTCCATTTTTGTCGAGCCTGTGGCTTTTGTCGCAAAAGCGAGACATAGCGATCCTACATTCCGTCGTCGTTGTCCACAAATATTCACTCTGTGGTTAAAGTTTTTGAAATTTTGATAACTTTCTTAAACTATCCTGGATTTCTACCAAACTTGGACAGAAGCTTGTTTATGATCAAAAGCTAGTATCTAGAAGGAAATTTTGTAGAAATATATTTCCTGTTTTTCTGTATATTACTTATAAATGGACTTAGTTTTTCTTCCAGTTAATAGTACAATCACTCTGTGGTTAAAGTTTTAAAAATTTTAATAACTTTCTTAAACTATCCTTGATTTGTACCAAACTTGGACAGAAGCTTGTTTATGATCAAAAGCTAGTATCTAGAAGGAAATTTTGTAAAAAATTATTTCCTGTTTTTCCGTATATAACTTATAAATGGGCTTAGTTTTTCTTCCAGTTAACATTACATACAGTCTGTTGTTAAAGTTTTTAAAACATTTATTAGATTCATAAACCATTCTGGATTTTTACCAAACTTGGACAGAAGCTTCTTACAATCAAAAGATAGTATCTATAGGAAAATTTTTAATAATTTTTTCCCCATTTTTGTTGAGCCTGTGACTAGCAGGAAAAGTAGGTGAGACAATGGGTTCCCTGGAACCCTTACGAATTTTTACATTGTTTATTACTGATTTATATATAAAAGCAACAAATACTGATATGGCAGGAGATACACACCAAACAGGGTGTGTAAATTAGTATATATATAACAGATTAACTAAGTATTGTGCAACAGCACAGTATTGCGCAATAGCAAGAAATCTTCAATAGCACAGAATTGGGCAATAGCACAGTATTGCGCAATGGTACAGTATTGCGCAATAACAAGAAATCTTCAATTACACAGTATTGCGCAATAGCAAGAAATCTTCAATTGCACAGTATTGCACAATAGCAAGAAATCAATTGCACAGTATTGCGCAATAGCACATTATTGCGCAATAGCAAAAAATCTTCGATTGAAAATAAATATAAAATATTTTAACCAATTTCAATGGGATTAATTTAAAGTCTTTAATTTTTGGGGGTTCTAACCTTGTATTACTATTTTGGATTTTGGGCCCCATTTTTAAATTGGTCTACATTGAGGTCCAAAGGGTCCAAAATTAAACTTTGTTTGATTTCATCAAAAACTGAATTATTGCGGCTCTATGATATGCTGAATCTTATTGTACATTTAGATTTTTTATTTTGGGCCCTGTTTTCAAATTAGTCCATATTAAGGTTTGAAGGGTTCAAAATTAAACTTGATCAAAATCCAAATTCAGACAGTATCAAGCTTGAATATTGTGTCCAAACTTGCCCCAAGGGTTCGACCTCTGCGGTCGTATCAGGCTGCGCTCGGCGAACCATTGATTGTTCTCTGCTATCAATCCATGTGTTAAGTCTGTGACATGTAATATATGTTTTTTTATTTTGCAATAGCATGTTTATGCTTTTGCAATAAAGATTCATTTAAACATGTTACAATATCATGAATATGCAATATACCTGTCGTTTTGAGAATTTAGTTTTAAAAATGATTTAATGAAAGATTTTAATAGACCAGTATTTTGCGTTGGTATAATGCTATCATGTCGTTTACTAGTAAATTAGTATATATAACAGATTAACTAAGTATTGTGCAACAGCACAGTATTGCGCAATAGCAAGAAATCTTCAATAGCACAGAATTGGGCAATAGCACAGTATTGCGCAATGGTACAGTATTGCGCAATAACAAGAAATCTTCAATTACACAGTATTGCGCAATAGCAAGAAATCTTCAATTGCACAGTATTGCACAATAGCAAGAAATCAATTGCACAGTATTGCGCAATAGCACATTATTGCGCAATAGCAAAAAATCTTCGATTGAAAATAAATATAAAATATTTTAACCAATTTCAATGGGATTAATTTAAAGTCTTTAATTTTTGGGGGTTCTAACTGTTTGATTTCATCAAAAACTGAATTATTGCGGCTCTATGATATGCTGAATCTTATTGTACATTTAGATTTTTTATTTTGGGCCCTGTTTTCAAATTAGTCCATATTAAGGTTTGAAGGGTTCAAAATTAAACTTGATCAAAATCCAAATTCAGACAGTATCAAGCTTGAATATTGTGTCCAAACTTGCCCCAAGGGTTCGACCTCTGCGGTCGTATCAGGCTGCGCTCGGCGAACCATTGATTGTTCTCTGCTATCAATCCATGTGTTAAGTCTGTGACATGTAATATATGTTTTTTTATTTTGCAATAGCATGTTTATGCTTTTGCAATAAAGATTCATTTAAACATGTTACAATATCATGAATATGCAATATACCTGTCGTTTTGAGAATTTAGTTTTAAAAATGATTTAATGAAAGATTTTAATAGACCAGTATTGATATTTTTATTGTAGGTTAGAAGCTGTATATTATGGCTGCTATCCAATGTGTCCAAATAGACTTGTTTATCCTGAAATATTTCCAGGTATATTGTTTTGAAACTAATCAGAGCATTTCTTAACCTCATTTCCTGTAACCTGATAATAGCAGTACTTCTGCCTTAATCCCATGTTTAGTTCTCAAATAATCCATTTATATATGTAATACATTTTTCATTCATATTGTTAATTTATCCCTGAACAATGATCAATGTCGCTTCAATATAAAAATAAGGAGATGTGGTATAATTGCCAATGAGACAACTATCCACCAGTCTAAATCATGTGCATACATGCATCTGTAGGTCCCAGTATTGCCTTCAACAAACAGCAAAACACATACTGTATATGAAGCTATAAAAGACCCAACATTACAAAATGTAAAACAATTCAAACAAAAAAAAAAGAAAAACAATGGCTTGATTTATGTACAAAACAATAAATGAAAAACAATTATGATAGAAAGCAACCAACGACAACCCCTGATTTACAGGCTCCTGACTTTGGACAGCCACATACAGAATGTAGCGGGGTTAAACGTGTTTGTGACTGCTCAGTCCTCCCTCTTACCTGGGACAGTGGTGTAACAGCACAACAAAAGAACAAACTACAAGGCCATTTTATACTCTTGGAAATGTTATATGCACTTTTTCTTGCAGACGTTTACCTGTATAATACAAATAAACAGCTGATTAAATCATTAAGAAGGTTTTGTAAATTCCCTGCTTTAGCCAGAGACCATACATGCCAGGTAATATTAAGAAGTACACTATTCAATGATATTTGTGAGTCAATTACACAACTATGATAAATAAAAAAACATGTGTATTTCAGTAAAGATCTTGTCAATAAAATAAATTCTTTTTTTGTGAATTCATTTGGTTGCAAACAGACAGTGTATTTGTGTTTATTTATTCATTGCCAAAGCATGTACTCTATTTGATTTAGTCAAAATATTCCTGAAATCTCCCTTATGACGTCACTTTAATGATGTCATGCAGAGTTATGTCATCAATTGGCCTGTAATTCAGTGGTTGTTGTTAGTTGCTGTTTATCATATTTGTTTTTCCTTTATTGGTTTGTACATAAATCAGACCATTTTTTTTTATCTGGCTTCTGGTAGCTTCAACAATGTAATAGTTTGTGACTAGGTCAGTATATGAGGAATTACTAGTGCTAGGTCAATGATATTTGGTATTCAGTTGAATTAGCATTGGCACATCTCCTTTCCATAGAGATAATTTGGGCCTGCCTCCTCAATCATGGTCTTTTGACTTTGAAACTTTTGCTTAGTATACACTTATTAGTTTGTAATTAAGTCAGTTTAAAAGAGACCATTAATGGTAAGTCAATGATATTTGGTATGAAGCTGTATAAGCATTTTCATTTTTTGTTTCCAAGGAGGTTATTTGGCCCTGCACCTTCTGTCATGGGTCATCGACTGAATGTTTTGCATAGTTTACATATTTAAGTATTATCAATTTAATTACATTTGCATTTTACTATCAAAAAGTGAGACATATCTCTGTGTCAATAGTTTATTTTTGATATGACTTACATTTTGTCCAATCAGGGCCTTTTATAGCTTACCATATGGTTTTAATTTTGCTCATTGTTGAAGGATGTACAGTGACCTATAGCTGCTTGCATCTATGTCATTTGGCCTCTGGTGGATAGTTGTCTCATTGGTTTTCATACCACATCTTCTTATTTTATAACGTTACTGTTGTTGCTTGTTATAAAAATATTTTTAGGCCTAAACCTTTAATGATTGGTATTATGCCAACATACATTTTATTCTTGCCTGCTTAGTTTATGACTAAGCTCTATATAAAAGAACTATAACAAAAATAAATGCTTCAACCATACTGTGTCATATTTAGTTAATGGTAACATAATAAATATCATCAGTTTAATATTAGTTACTTTTTGTTCATGTTTCAAAATTTTATCTCAGAGTTTTGCAATATATATTTTCTGTATTTTCTATTTGTAGGTACAAGTAGAAAAATATTTGTGGACAAACATGGCTCAAAATTATATCAATCTTCTTACAATTCAAGACAATGATGGGGAGAGATTAGATAGTGCACAAACTGATGATGTCACTTGAAGACATGAGAATATTTTTTTATCTTGTAAACAAATATCAATCCAAGAGTATCCTTTAACATTAGATAGTAGGTAAATATTTCTGAAGTTATTGAATAATACATACATAAAAAGTAATACTCAAAATTGACAACAACACTTCAGATGGTCTGCAACTTTATTTGCTATGGTCTACATGTTTCGCCTGCAAGGCAGACATCATCAGGACAATTTACATACAGAAATTATTTACTGAAGTACCCAAACTGGTATCTTGAATTTGACGTCACAATGTGTGTTGTCCAGGTGAACTTCCCATGGTTCCTACCACTTCGCAAGGCTTCTCTTCCAACCTGGCCAATGTTGGTTGTTACTACTTCCTGGCGCGTCGGTAACAATGGGAAGATTATGATCGCCACTAATGGAAAATATAATTGTCAGAAATCGTTCCCTTGTTAATTATTTGGTATATATATAGTTTTTTTGCTACAAGCGCCTATCTACAGGCCACCAGCATGTACATGGACCAAGGAATATTCCACACGTGCGACAAATCACCAAATCCAGGTATCCACTTCATGGGCTCTACTGAAAGGATTCACACAGGCGTTGGTTCACCAGACAGAGTTTAATTACATACATAAAAAGTATTTTAAATAAATCCCTAGGAAAATCATTATTACTGAAAGGCTGTCATCTTAAATATAATTATCTTAACTCCATCTAAGCTTGTTACAGAGACTGGTATAGAATAAAGACATTGCTTTGCACACATTCACCCTTCCTGATATGTAACTTATGTAAATGCTTGATTCAAAATTTCCAGAACAAATCATAGGTTTCTGAGGGCCCTTCTATTTCCACATCTGCAACATTCAATTTTAACATTTTATCATTTTTTCATTACTTCCTTCTCTTTAAATGTATTAAGGTGCTATTGTAACTTTATTTTATTCATTGTAATTTGCCAAATTGATAAACTGCTTCCAAATGAGCATTTTGAAGTACATCTAACTCTTAGTCATATACAAATGCAAGATCTACAAATGTATTGTAATGACTATCATTTCTAATGATTTATAAAGATAAATAATTTTTCAGGGGGATTGGGAAATTAATATGCTGGCCTGGTAAGAACTGAAAATGGTCTTGCCCAAGACCAGATGAAATGGGTTTTCTGGTCCATAGAATGGAGGATATAAGTCTGCATAGCTCATGTGAAAATTAATATTCCTTCTGCAAATAATACTCTTACATTGTTTAACTGCCTCAAGTTTTGATTAAAAGATTGTTCATTATTTCATTGAACATCTGTCAAATTGTTTGAGTTAATATGAATTGTACTTAAGAATTGTAAAATGGTCTAATATAATGTCCAATTTTTTCTTTTCCCAATTTTTATTTTATAATGATGAATGGTCCATATGTTCCTAGTAATTAAATTATAATGTCAAGTTTCCAAAACATTTTGGTTTTGCTTTCATGTTGCGAGATTAATGGATTGATGAGTGTTTAACCTCTACCGGCAAATAGCATATGAGAATGTGAACAAACATGTTTGATGTGCTAAAATTATGAATTGTTGTGGACTTACATGCTTATCCTGATTTTAATGGGGGCATTAAGTTTTACCCTTTTCTGTTTGTACATACGTACGTATGTATGTCCCAAAATTGGTTTCTGTTCTCTAACTTGAGTTTGCCTCAACCAAATGTTATGAAACTTATACACAATGCTTATTACCACAAAACACAGATCAAGTTTGAATTTTGGTGGCATCACTTTAACCGTTTTAGTTTAAGTACTAATTCACAAGGCAACAGTCTGCAGGAAGAGATGTGGCTCTACTTGGACATATTATTTTGACACAAAACCAACCATTTGTTGCTTTTGCTTTTAAATGCAGCATAGCATAGAAGCAGAAGATACCCAATTTTGAAGTCTTTGGTTAGACATGACCATGGATCTGATACACAACCTATAGCTAAGGCAGTTATCATTCTTGTTGAAAAAAATATAAACTTGTAGGCAAAAATGAGTTTTATATAAAAGAGTATATCAAAATCAAAATGCAACATAAACATTTATATATTTTTTTTCAATGTCAGCTTAATAATAACTTATCTTTATTTTTTAGGTTCAGTGATGCTGCAAGATTTCAAGGCCATGTTTTTCTGGCAATTGTAAAAACAAAGTTGAACAAAAAGTTAAATGTGAGATGCTTATACTAATATGCAGGTTTAAATGGTTCATTCCAAAATCTGGTCACTATGATTCTTTAGCTTATAAGTGACAGGAGACCAGTGACTTACTGATTTTTGTACCAGATATTGTATTATAACAAACACTGCTGGAGTCATAGTTTCTTTTATTAAAAAAAATATGATGCTTCAACGTACCAGTAATATAAAGAACTGTTACTAGATACCTATTACAAATGGCCATTATTGACATGTATACTTTGTATTTTTTGAATAGACTCATGTTGATTCACTAGTAATATTGTTAACATCCAATAAACAAGTATTTATGCAATATAACATAATAAAATGTTTTTAATTATTTGGTTTCCATCCTATAACACTATTTGACCTTCAAAAAATAATAATCTTCTCTGAAACCAATGAACCATTTGGAATCAAATTTAGCCAATCATCCTTCAATGTATGTGATGAACCAAGCAACACGGGTGTAACAGAACAAATAAAATAAATCAACAGTGTTCCAATGTTTCAAGCTGCTCCACATATTTTTTCTGTCCAAGGGCAATAACTATAAGTTTTTTTTTCTTAAAATCTGACAAGAAATGTGGGGGTGAGCATTTGTAATCATACCACATACGTAGGTGTGAGACCACTTACAAGATGCATACGTACCCAGTACTGTTATGTCTACATCCATTATCTCCTTTAAATGTATTCATATTAAGATCCATATGTCATCAAATGTATAACCCACTTGATTTAAATGATAAGTGTGTATTTAATTTTAACACTTATTTTTCATATCAGAAAACAAATTGTGTGCTCTGGGAAGTCATAAACAAAACAAGAGCATCTAACCATTCTGTCAACAACTTTACCATATGAAGTAGTTAAATAACTGGAGTTACCTTACAACAAGGCTCTAAATATATAATCAAATGGTGAAACCTTTATACAACAAGGCTCTAAATATATAATCAAATTATGAAACCTTACAACAAGGCTCTAAATATATAATCAAAATGTGAAACCTTACAACAAGGCTCTAAATATATAATCAAATTGTGAAACCTTACAACAAGGCTCTAAATAGATAATCAAATTGTGAAACCTTACAACAAGGCTCTAAATAGATAATCAAATTGTGAAACCTTACAACAAGGCTCTAAATATATAATCAAATTGTGAAATGATGAAAAGTGTTATCATCTTTAACAACAAATTTTGAAACGGTAAATGCAGCAGGACTTATTTTTTTGGGAAATCAGTTTTCTGCCTAACAAAACAAATGCATTGATTATTGTTCTTTCTAGTAAAAGACATATTTTTTTCTTCATGGCACTGATCATTCTTTATGTATCAGATTCTTCGTTATTTTCAATAATGTTAAACACATACATGTACTTAAAAAACACACTGACATGTCTCATCCTGCCTTGCTGATCATGATTGAATTTATGTTGAAGTTCTTTAAGATAAAGGTTTAAATACAAGTATTATATTAAATTAACATTATCAATGATCCATGTAAATTATGTTACGGTCAGATGGTCTCTGCCAGACGGATATGTACACTTTGCAGTCATTCCATACACCAAATATAGTTTACCTATTGCTCATAGTATCTTAGATAAGGACTTGAAACTTACATTGACCAATGATCCATGAAAAACAGTTAGGTCATGAGATCCCTATTTTATGAACATGCAAACCTTGCAAGGATCTCGTACACCATATATGGTTAACTTGTTACTCATAATAAATGAAAACTACCATGACAAAAAAGCAGATGCTGAACCATGAACATAAGGATTGATTGATTGATTGGTGTTTAACGCCACTTTCAATACTATTGTGCTATTTGGTGGCGGTCAGTTTTTATTGGTGGAGAAAGCTGGAGTGCCAGGAGAGAACCACCAACCTTCAGTAGGAAAACTGAGAATCTAGTTAATTAAGATTTAAGTCGAGTGAACCTACCTCGTGCTAGATTCGAACTCACAACCTCAGTGTTGACAGGCTAGTTCAACTACTTAGACCACTAGGCCAGCGAGGCCCCTGAACATAAGGACAATGGACATATGACAGACAAACTTTACAACATTAGCCATCTGTAAACAAGGTATCCAGGTCTACTACCCTATGAAATATAAAGCTTTATTCAAATAGTTTATGCTGCTGCCAGATTAGCATGTTTATGCCCCATAGGTGAGACAAAAATCTTTAAAGAAAAAAAAAATTGTTGAAAACTATCAATTTATCGATTCTAGTAGGTCATGAAATATACAAACATTAGTCTATATTTGATGATAGAAAGATCAATTATGATACAATTTTTAATACAAAATATTACTATGCAATTATACATGGCTGTAACTACTCATGTTAAAAGGTAGAACAATGAAAGCATTTAACACTAAAAACAACAAAATTCAGCAAATATTTCAACCTAAAAAAACATTTGGCAAAGGGTACACTGACCTGAAAATGAAAAAAAAAAATAGTCCATTCTTGAGGGGACAGTCACAACCTGATAAATCTATGTCCTCATTACAATGTTATAACATTTTTATTTATTCTCTGCTCACAAAATATATCTCTTGACAAAGACCTGTTAGACTGACAATTTGGTCAATATTTATGTCTTCTCTCTGGTGATAAAACCATAAGTAGAAGTAGTATGATTGCTAATGAGACGACAAGTTTCTATGTTTTAGCCTTTTACCCATTAAACTTGGTGGTTGTACCTATTACTGAAGTATTTTAATCCTATATACAAGTTCCAACCATTTATTATGTTACAATTAATAATATATTCAATACAAAAATATATTATCTCGCTACTTTTGCTAATTGTGAAATGGGCATTCAAATAACATTGTATTTCTGTAGTAATATTGAAAATTAAAAAAACAAGAGTGCACACGCTGAAATGTCTCACCTTCTTTACTAATCATTGATATTATGTTGATAGTTCTAAATATAAAGCTTTACTACAACTATCATATACACTTGACATGATCCAAGAAAATGAGGTCAAGGTCATATAAACCAAACAAGAAATACATGTACACCTTACAATCATTCAATACACTAAATATAGTTGACCTATTGTTTATAGTTTCTGAGATACAGACTTAACCATGAAAACTGAACATTGACCAATGAACCATGAAAATGAGGTCAAGGTCAGATGAACCATGCCAGGCAGACATGTACAGCTTGCAATCCTTCCATACAACAAATATACTTGACCTATTGCTTATAGTATTAGAAAAACAGACCAAAACACAAAAACTTAACACTGAGCAATGAACCGTGAAAATGAGGTCAAGGTCAAATAAAACCTGCAAGACTGACATGTACATCATAAAATATTTCCATACACCAAATATAGATGACCTATTACATATAGTATTAGAAAAAAGACCAAAACTCAAAGACTTTGACCACTGAACCATGAAAATGAGGTCAAGGTCAGAAGACACATGCCAGCTAGACATGTACACCTTACAATCATTCCATACACCAAATATAGTAGACCTATTGCATACAGTATAAGAAAAACAGACCAAAACACAAAAACTTAACTATAATCACTGAACCATGAAAATGAGGTCAAGGTCAGATGACACCTGCCAGTTGGACATGTACACCTTCCATACACTGAATATGCTAGACCTATTGCTTCTAGTATCGGAAATATGGACTTGACCACCAAAACTTAACCTTGTTCACTGATCCATAAAACGAGGTCGAGGTCAAGTGAAAACTGTCTGACGGGCATGAGAACCTTGCAAGGTACGCACATTACAAATATAGTTATCCTATTACTCATAATAAGAGAGAAATTAACATTACAAAAAATCTGAACTTTTTTTTCAAGTAGTCACTGAACCATGAAAATGAGGTCAAGGACAATGGACATGTGACAGATGGAAATTTCGTAACATAAGGCATCTATATACAAAGTATGAAGCATCCAGGTCTTCCACCTTCTAATATATAAAGCTTTTAGGAAGTAAGCTAACGCCGCCGCCGGATCACTATCCCTATGTCGAGCTTTCTGCGACAAAAGTCACAGGTTCGACAAAAATTAAATAAAACAAGTGACTCTGTGAGCTAAAGCTCACTAATGATACCCCCTCCCCGCTAAAAATATAATGGTAAACAGGAGGTTGTTGAGTGATGAATCTGAAAACGCATCACACGGTATAGCTGACTCATATAAACCCTGAAACCAAATTACAGAAATCCTTGTAATGTGGTTCCTGAGAAAGATGCGACGAAAAAATATTCATGGGACGGACGGACGGATAGACAGACAGAGGTAAAACAGTATACCCCCACTTTTCTAAAGCGGGGGTATAATAAAAAAACAATTTTTTATTTGTTTATTTGTTTTGTTTTATTAATGTGTATTACTGATGTATTTGATTAACAGCTGTGTGGTATTTGTCAATGAGACAAGAAACCCATCACCACATTAAACTATCCAATGGTCAACAAATGGTCCAACTTTAAGCATGTGTATATCATCTATGTGATATATATATATATATATATATTAAGCCCTAAATGAACAGGAGTCGAGATAAGTTGTGAATAAATTGAAAACAGCCAATCAAATATCTGCCATCAACAAAATATCTATAAATGTAAAAAAAATCCTCAACATGTAACTAAAGACAACTACTGACAAAGCTTACTTAGGACAGGTATATGAATATGTTATCTTGATCAATTGAATAAAAGAAAGGACAAAGGACAAGAAAGTACAAGAGATATGACTTTAACATCAAACTGTAGAACAAGAAAGTACCAGAGATATGACTTTAATATCAAACTGTTCATTGAGGGGGATGAAAGACTTTTTTCAGGAATTCGAGGTTGAGAAGTTTTATCATGGAAATTCAGGAATAGCTAGTTAAATAGCGGGAATTGGGAATTTCAGGATTTAATTATACATGTTATATCGTGATGCAGGAATGGACACATTATTTTCACAAGAATTCAGGATTTTGGCCTTTATTTTCTCTGGAGTTTTGAGATGAGACCCCCTCCTACCCCCTCTTTAATTAATAAAAGACACTTGGAAAGAACATAAACAACCACTGACAGGCAAATTAGCATAAGGTGAGGGTAAAATTAGTTTTTTAGACTCTGCTTCAACATTCTCCATTTTTATCACCATTAGTGAAAAACAAATGTTAAAAGAAAGAAAGTACCAAAAATAAATTATTACCACTAAACTCTTTATATAATCATGATAATATTGTAATTAGAATTAAGGCAACTTACTGTCTGAAAATCAAAGATGTAAAGTAACTCACTTGGAGCTCCCACCACATTAAACAATGACAAAGTTGAGTACAAAAAGAGAAAACTTGAATGAACAAACCATTGGACAAAGGTCATAAATACAATCATATAACTTCATTTTTATTTCATTTAACTCTGATTATAAATCTTTCAAGTCTAATTGTAAATCTTGAATTTCTGCTAACAAAGATGTTTTTTTAGCTATTTTTTCCAACTGCTCCTTTTCAGGTTCTTTCAAATCACCAGAGCTTATCTTGGCTTCTAAATCTTCAACTTGTTTGAGCTTTTTTTTCAAATTGCGCAACTTTTTCTCAATACTGGCTTTGTCATTTTCACTTGTTTCAGACTCAACTGTTTTCACCGATATTAAATCTGATTTTTTTGTTTTTATGTCTGTTTTAGCTAATGATTCTGCTAGGTGATCTGCTTGGCTATTCTGTCCTTGGCCTTGTTTCTTTTTCTCTTTTCTTTTTAAGTTTTTCTTTGCTGACTTTGACATGGCTGATGTTTCTTCCTGTACATGTGTTTTAGGAGGTACATGCCCAGGGTTGAGGCCAGGTGGTAATGAAGGTTTACTTTTCATCCATTGAACACCTTTATTTTCATACCTGAAAAAAAGATATATTGTATACATTTTTTTTAAAATGGCAGTGAATACACAACAAAGAACCAGTAGCAGGACAAATAGTAACAAAGTAGTCCATCAAAGATTTCAATCCAATATCCGCAAACACTCATTCTCTGTTAAAATAGCTAAAACCTGGAACAAACTACCAGAGAAAATTAACAAAGCCCCCTCCATATATGCTTTCTAAAATTGACTACATAAATATTGGTTTGATGAACAGATCTATTACAATGACTATAGAGCAGAAATATCCGGAAGTCACAGACAAAATAGTATGCAAAACAATTTAAATTATGAGTCTGGTGAAGAGGAACCTTAAGGATCCTGTACTGGAAATCAACTCTAAGTAAGTATACATTTTTTGTTTGTCTCTATAATTATTACTACTATTTCTTTGACTTCTTTGTGCAGGTTCAAAATATTCAATGAATTTTTATTTGAATTGATTGATTGTTGGTTGCTTAATGTCCAGTTGCATATTTTTATTTGAAAATCTGTTACGTTCAATGATCAACTACAGGCTATTACTTTCCATGTTTAACTACAGGCTAGCAAGTGCTGAAAGGATGACATGAAAATCAAAATCAGATGTTTTAAATATTTGATATTTGTTTAGCATCACAATGATTGTCTTTATACTTTATTAGTATCCAATAGACCACTTTCGAGTTATGTCCTTCACAAAAAAAGTTCGTCAATTATGCGCGCCTTTATGACATCATTTACCAGATCTTTGAAAGCTTGACAATGCTAATTATTATTTTTTTTCAATACATGTACCAGTTTTATGTAATCAAGATGATTAAAATTTAATGTCATGAATGTATTCAGAGTCAAAGTTCAGTAATTTTAACCTTCATTTTCTTGGTCAAATTCCTTCTGATATAAATCAATCTCATTTAAATGTAAGTTGTACAAATGTGAATGAGAATACTAATACACATGTATTTATGTTTGCATTTTAGTTGCATTGTATTTACAAATATATACAAAATATATCAAAATGATACAAATCGACTATACTCCTCCAATTATTTCTGATAAACTATAAAGTGTTTTTTTTTCACAATATGTAACACTTGTGTGTGGAACATTATTTTATATACAAATGTTTACATTTCGTAAACTCCTTCATTGACTTTAGAGGTAGTGAAGTCTTTATTTTGCCGAAAGTACACTGACATTGTAAAATTTTGCTGCAGAAATTTGAAAGTAAAAAAAAAAAGGAAATCTGCTATACCATTTATGAAGATGGGAGATATCCATCACATCTGAAGAAGGCAAATTCATATAAATTTGGTAGATGAAGAAGAACAACTAGATCTGCAATGCTCAATTGGTATTTATAGTATGCATAATACAGACTAGCGAATCTGTATGATATAAAAAGAGCATGGTGATTTGGCAGCTAACAATGGCTGAAAGTGCCTCAAAAATACAGTAAATCCCTTTTGAAACTCATTGATTTCCCATACCAGGCCTACTCTTGTTTTTTTGTGTATTCTGCATTGTCATTAGCAACCATTTGAGTCTCTAAATTGAAGAGCACATGATGCTGACATTTCTTACTTGCATAAGGATCACAACTATAAAATGTGTTGAGAGTCTCTAGGATTAAGGTTTTACTATCAAGAATGTTTCACATGTCTAATGTTGATCAATCAATCATGAAAATAAGTTTAAGGTCAAGGAACAGTAATTAGGCTATGTCACAGATTTTGCTAAAATTTTGCATACAACATGTACAACCTTCATGACCTTGGCTGGTTGAACTATAACTGAAAATCAATTCTTTAAAAAAAAAGTCACATGAAATAAATTTTAGTACCATGAAATTTCGATCAATTTTGTGTAGGGGTTCCCTACTTATCATCCTGAAACCACAAATATATATTTCCAATGGATGAAGAAAATGCATTTTATCATATTGTGCTTATAGTCAAATGATTTTCCAAATATGATCTGTGAAAATGACATACTGGTTACTTTGAATTTTTCAAACCATCAAGGACCATATCCATGATTACTCTTGTTCATTAAGAACAAATAAGACAAAAATAAATCTAAACCTGTAGTTAGTGGTACAATACACTCAATTCAGTCCATTTCATGACATGTTTCTTTTTATTTGTCTTTGTATATTTTTAACCTTTACTGTTTAGTCCATTATTGTTATACACTTTTGGCGTGGCTATGTATATATGTTCCAGACCATATGATTATTTGGACCATACACGTATGTTCATGGCCATATGCATATATACTCAAATGGTCCGACCATATGCTTATGGTCCAGGTGTTTAATACAATGGATGTTGCCTTTAAAAGTACGAACCTTCATTAACTAAGAGTTTTTAATTGTGACTTTTTACATCAAATGGCAACCATCGTTATGTGATTAATGAAATAAAGTTAATTTTACTCAAATTAAAATTTAAGTTAAAGCATTTTTATATGGTAATTTTCTACTTGTCCTTAAGAAACACAATATGTATTGATTTTGACCTTGGAATATAACTTCAAGAAATATTTAAATTTACCGTTGAACAAGAAGTCAACTGTTTAACTCGCAGTCACAGGTACTTGGGGCATTGCACCCTCACCATTTTTTCCTTTATTTTGATGTTTTTAATTTGATTTTAGTAAATATTTTTTTTAATATCTTAAATTATTTTTAGTTATTTAATGATCTTTAATGTTTTCATGCTCCTATTTATACAATCTCAATAGTTTAAACGTGCTGTCCCTGTATATTCTTTATGTATGAACTACTGTTATTTTAAGATCGTATGAATAGGAACAAAAACACATCAATTAAGTGAAAATAGGTAAAATTTAGAAGAATTTAGAAAATTAAATTATCTAAATACCTGGGAAAGAAGAAAAAAGTCCTTTTAGAATATATTCGAAAAATACCTATATGGTCTAAATACTCATATGGTACGGCTCGTTAATATCCAAACGAGTATATATACTCATATGGTATGACCATACGCCTATGGTCGGACCATATGAGTATACGCATATGGTCATGACCATACGCGTATGGTCCAAATACTCATATGGTCCGCAACATATATACATTCCGCAATTGTGTTATTGTGCTATGATCATTTTTGTATTTTTTCTTTCATTTTTGCTCATGTATTTGTCTATAGAGTATCTATATGCCATTTTGTTTTTCTTTGCTGAAATAGTTATTTGTTTTTATAGTGATTAAGATTATAGAACAATGTGGACTGCTGTACCCTAATTTTTGACATTTTTGGAATTCCATTATATTGACAACAATGTGTGAGAAAAACACACAGACATAATAGGTAGTAAATGTCAAAAATTACCTATTATGTCTGTTTGTTTTTCTCACACATTGTTGTCAATATAATGGAATTCCAAATGACTGTCATACAAGTGAGAGGTTTAGCTAGCTATAAAACAAGATTTAATCCACCATTTTCTACATAAGGAAATGCCTGTACCAAGTCAGGAATATGACAGTTGTTTTCCATTCGTTTGATGTGTTTGAGCTTTTGATTTTGCCATTTGATAAGGGACTTTCCAGTTTGGATTTTCCTTGGAGTTCGCATTTTTTTTTTATTTTACTTTTTTCCTCACTTTTTAAATAATTTCCTGAAACCAGTGTGACAGAGTGATGGACATATGCATCTCTATACATACATTGTACCCCCATCATTTAAGTCGTGAGTAAAAGGACCATTCATGTACTATTATCTCCAACATCTGATTCTGAACAAGCTTCCTTACTGCAGAGAAATTGATCAAAATTGATGTTTTTACATTATTTTTTACTAACAGCATAAACATAATTAAAGCCAAGCTATTTTCTTGATCAGTGATAGAAAATGTACAAAGGAGAGACCCTCCAATTACTTTGTTCTATATTTGTCATACTTTTTGGTAAAAGAGAATTAACACAGATTTTAGTTAATGCAAATGTGACTCTTATATGTAAGCCTTACGTTGGGACTTCATCTTGTGGGATATATCCATCTTTCACTTTACGTGGCTTTCTCCATGTACCATCCGGACGTCTTGATGCAGGAATAAACAATTCACCTGCAATAAAGAGTTATACACAGTTTAGTAACTTAACTGTAATCATGCATTTTACCAAAACCCAAAACTAAAAGGGGAAATAAGTGATTTTATTTTAAGTTTATGAAAATTCTGAATACACTTATCAATTAATTTATTGATTGTTTCATTCTCTAATTTCATTCCATAAACTAAAATATGAATGACTCCAGCAAGTTTTATATTTTGCCAAGTAGAATGAAATGGACTTCTACTGTCCCTATTTTTTCTTCTTTCACAAATGTTTTATTTTCTTTTAAATGTGAAAGAAATACTACTTGTTCAAAAGTATTTTGGTTCATACTTATACATGTAGGTATACAAACAAATAAAAAACAATATTGGTTTTTTTTTATAATTTTTTCTCGAAAAAACATGTTTTTTTTACACCCTTTTGGAAAATTGAGGCATCTTCTTTTAACATGTTTAACAAATGTTTAATGGTAAATATAATTATTGACACTCAAATAAACAATTGGACTTGAGGATTAAAATATCATGGCTAAGAAACGTATTGTAATATTTTTTAACAATGTTATTTAATTCATATAGGATGCTTAATTATCGTACCATTAATAATACCAAGGAGGTTAGGCCAATTAAAATTAATTGATAGATTTTCATCCCCGCCCGCCCCTCTGAAATCGTCCCGCCCCGATTTTTTTTATTTTAACAAATTTACGATTTCCGGATTTTGTTCATTTCCGTTACCGGAAACCACCGATAATTTCGTTTCATTCATAACTTCCTGTAGCAAATTTCGGTTTTCGTATTTCTTCGAGTAATTTAACCAAAATGATTAAGTCGAAATATTCTGCTGCTATATGATGACAGCATTATCTTCCGAGAAAAGAGATTGCTTACGAGAAGGGCATGAAATATTCGGGTTACGAGTGACAGGCGGTGTCCAAGAACGCAAATCGCGGTCAGTGATTAGAAACCTGTGGATTTTTTTATTTATACAATGGCTTTGTGTCAGGAAATTTGGACTGTGAATGATATCCAAAGCACAAGAATCGTGGAACACATTGCTGCAATAAAAAACATGACTGAGATAAAGAAATTGACACAAGCACGAACTTGTGCGATCTAAGACCATATATTGAGTACAAAAAAGTCGGCCAATGTAATGCTATATGTCTTAAAACTTTTCCAGATACACAGGGTTATCTGTACTCAGAGTAAATTTTGAGGTGAAAATGCAGCCCTTGTAGCCAAAGGGTCCACATGAACCTTAAAAGCATAAACCATAGTATTTGCAACATAGTTTGAGTTTTTATTTCACTCTGTACTCACAATACTTGTAATGGGCACTACAAAGTACTACTTAGAAAGCAAAATAAATTTGATGTAGGTAGTCTAAAAGAGAACATTTCTCCACCTTTTTGCTATTTACTAAAAAATGGTTTCTAAAGTGGCAATCACATGTAGAACAGTGGTTGCCAATCCGAAATCTTTATTAAGACTTTGAAAATTTATGTAGAATTCCTTATATATACATGATATAAGCTTAATATTACCCTTGCATATGCACAGTCTGATTGAAACCAGCCCCAAATATCTACAAAGGCAAATGGAAAGTGGGGGCTGGTTTTAATCAGACTGGCATATGAAGAACACGTCACAAAAGGGTTTCGGAGGAAATAAAAATTAAAAAATAAAATCCTCCCACCCGCCCCATTTTTTTCAAAAATTTGGATGAAAATCTACTAATTAATTTTAGTTGGCCTTATATGAGAAGGAGAGTGAACACTATGCTTGATATAAAATTAGCATCCCCAGGATAGCAATTTTCGAACAGAAGAAAATGATAAAAATATAAAGAAACTGACATGTTTATCACCCACTTGATATGGCCCTCTGACGTACCAGGCTGTTACCGCGAACAGTCCGTGTGATTAGGAGAATCACTAATGTCACGTGATTCTAATCAATGACTGGGTCATTAAAATACAGCGACTCTTTTCACAAAAAATCTTACGATTAATTAAAATTGATCGTAAGTTATATTGAAATGTGTATGACTTACGAGTATTTTTACTCTTAATATTTTTTGTGAAAAGAGCCGCAGGTGTAATTATCTATACTAATCAGTTTAAATGTGTTTTTATTGTGCATTATCACTTGACGCAAAATTCGAAAGTATATCGTCTAACTACGGTGAAAATCGACTAACAAATGACAAAGTTATGAGGGTTTTAAGAAATTTAAGAATGCAAAATTTTAGAAATTTTCGCAAAGTGGCATTTCGATTATGCAACCTTGTAAAACCGCCGGCAGCAAGACTGCCAAGAGGGTTAAAAAATCCTCGAAAATTCTTTTCTTTCCAGTTATTACCTGTCGCTTCGTCTTTTACTACGCCTGTTCTCTCTATGTATGTTTCCTTTTCTGTCATAACTAAATACTAATAATGTGTATGCCCTAGATATTAGAATGTTTCAGTTTTCGCACCACTTTCGAATGCAAAAAGAATATATGAAGTTATCTCCCATGTCATTTCATTATAATTTTAAAATAACGCCGTAATTTTTCCGCGTATGCACATCGTAAATATCCCAGAAGGTTGGAGTCTTTTCCATTCTCCAGGGGCGGATCCAGCCATTTTTAAAAGGGGGTTCCAACCCAGGATAAAGGGGGTCCAACCCCCGGAACCCCCCTCCCCCGGATCCACCACTGTTCTCCACTTCTCCCATCCCTCTTCTCCTAAAATTAAAAAAAATAAGTTATAGTTAGTTTTAATAAAAAAATCTCGTCAATGTCTAGGCTTATTTACAATACACCCTGTTGTTTTTCTCTCGGGACAAACATTTTAACACTATGTCATATTTAATCCCCCCTAATTTTCAATTTCGGGGGGGGGGGGGGGGCACTTCGATACTGAATTGATATGGCCGGGAATGGGGTGCCGCTAGGGTTCTGTTACCCCATCCTTTTCATATAATTGGTCGGGTTTCGTGTGTGGTGTGTTAGTCAAAGTGGAATACCAAAGTGTCAAACTGAGAGGTAAAATTTGTGGATAAAAACATAGGAACAACAAGAAAGTTACAGGGCTTTTCATAAAACAAGTAATGGGAACTTTATGGAACTTATCATATATTTCTGATAGTTTTAACCCACCTATTCTCATATTTTCAAGCTGGAAAATGTAACTTATTCCAATCACCTTATATATAGGAAGTGCCCCCCTCCCCCGAGATAGAAACAAACTATTTTTGCCAAATCCCTTCTGAAACAACTCCTAGAAATGTGATTCCTTAATTATGTTGGTGTTATTAGGGCCCACATCGAGGAAGCGGGAGCTAATACAATTTTCACTTTGTCCGTCCGTCTGTCTATCTGTCTGTCCGTCCGACAATGATTTTAATAAATAGATTGTCATTGATAATTTTATCTATCTTCCACCATTTGTGAAATGACTGCCATCATACATATAATGTAAAAAAAAATCATAGTTAGCTCGAGATTTAACGAAACACGATATTATTTAGTATCGTCCTTCCATTCACCTATATCATCCTCTTCTTCTTCTTCTTCCGTTTGCAGTTCAGTCCACCAGCTGGTGTATTTTCGAACTGAGGCTCAGTAAATTTCGCATCACGGCTTTGAGATGTACCGATTATTAGGTTGTCTGCATATTGATATTGTAAAATATAAGCTGCGAGTTACAATGTGAAGCTTTTTGTCGAGTGAGCACAGCGAACGAGTTCAAAAATGTTTCATATTGTGTCGAGGAGCTGATATTTTACAATATAAATATGTAGACAACCAGATAATCGATTTATCGGGTTGTATTTGCGTATTTTGCATGATAGAGACATGTTTCACCAGCAAACTGGATGATGACTTGATAAGTTCGGGTCAAACTTATCAACGTCTGTTCATTCATTATGAAGTCGTTGATATGTCCGGGTCAAAGTTATTAAAAAAAATTAAGTCCGGGTCAACGAATTTGATGTTTTTTTACGTATAGATATCGTAAAATATCAGTCGCTCGACATAATGTAAAGCTCAGACTGATAGAATGATAAGGTACGATACAAGTACGGTTTAAAATTAAAAAAACTGTGGTAATTTAGTACCAATAATCCGAATTTGTTAATATGAGATGTAAATTGGGTTTATTCTTGGTAACCATATTCTAAAACATTTAGAGCATTTTCAAATGCAACACAAGTTGAAAGATTGTTGAAAAAAAAATATAATCACTCTCAGACTGGCAATTGCGTCATTTATGACCTGTCACGAGTTCCGCGTATCATATTTTGTTTAACGTAAAATAGTCTCATTCAAATGTTACCGACTATCTTAACATGTGGCATTTAGACTAGTGGCCTATCAAAGTGATCAAGTCTTCAACATAAAGAACCTACTTCTATTATAGTAGTATACAAAAACAAATGCCAGCAATAACAACGTGTTAGCTTTTAATGTGTTTTCTGCATTTATTTCAATCGTTCATCATCAATTTCTTTGATTGTCGAAACGTTTCAGATTTTTCATCAGCGCCGTATTGTTTTTATTAAGGGACATAACACCACTACTAACCGTGTATTAGAATTAACCCCGCCTACTAACTTCATATGAAATATGCACGGTCACCACGCGGTAGCTTTTAACCAATGATATTCCTAGATAGAAATGTATAGGAGGTAAGATAATATTGATACTTGAGATGAATTTGGATCAGTATATGCCAAAATACCCTTTGATCAGGAATATACTTGCCTCGTTACTATGTCTTTGGTGTAATCGTTGCATCTGTATCTGTATCCAACGAATTTCTGCCAGTAAAGGCACATCTACTTATTTAAAGTAAATGTTACTATATGATAGTATCTAAAAATCACAATTGTCACTGAATTTCACCACCAGTATATTTTAACTTAACCTATCACATTTTTTTTTACAGAGTTCATGAATTTCATATAATATATATATACATATATATACAAATCTTAATTGAAAACAACGTTCAAACCTATATGATTGCGTTGGATAAAAACCGCAATTTTTATACGTGTGCATGCAAAACAAATTTCTTGTTAGAGGGGTCTAAATACAACACAAACAACATTTTCCAAAAGACCAAAAAAAGTGAAAAAGTATATTTTAACAAAACGCATTTGACTAGCAGGTCGAACAACGGATGTTCTTAAACCCTGCTGACTGCCATTGGCGATTGCCAAATAAACGGATCACCAGATGTAACAAAATGGATCTTAACTATTAATCTTATACCAAAAAGAAAACCATAAACTTGCGGAAAAGATGGTATACCGCAAACAAAAGGTGCAAATATGAGTACACCATATCCGGATTTCGACAATCAATGTCTCTTCAGTGATGTTACGAATCGAAACGGTATTTGGAAGGCCATATAATTTACCTCAATTTAGGATAGACACTTGAATTTTGAAGAGTCGGAATAGGATGAACGGATCATATAAACCCGAAGGCAAATATAATACAAGCCCAAACGAAAAAATATAAGCAAGTCTAAATTGAAAACAACGTTCAAACCTATGATTGCGTTGGATAAAAACCGCAATTTTTACACGTATATATATATATATATGTGTGTGTGTGTGAAAGGTCAGACGAGTCTCTTCAACTATTTATTGTGACTTGACTGTGAGTGTTGCTGTCCACCTAGTGCAGTTCATTTAAAATGCTGGTTCAATTGCAATTATGCCATTTAAATCAAAATTGTTCAATTAGTCAGAAATATCAACCCTCAAAAATATAGTTTTTGTAAAAGAAAATCACTTATTTATATACACGATTGGCCAACAGTAGTTTCAGAAAAGAAGGGGGAAAATTATTTTCCATTAAGTTTCAATGATATCAATGCCGCGACGTCAACTATCTGATCAGTTTTAACTGAGGATAGTTTGTTCGGATGGTCTCCAATCATTAAATTGTCCAATTAAGATCGAAGATTACATTTGGTCATATTTTTCATCGGATCAAAATCAAATTATTACCAGTTGTAATCCGTACATCAGCCCTGCAATGTATCATTGGTATAGTACAAATAAGCCATGTGATTCCACAGAAGAAGGTGAAGTTTGATATGTTTCCATAGTGTTTCCATTTCGCATTATAATTTCAGGTGAGAAGATTTTTTTTTAATTCGGAGGTCTAACGACGGATGGTCGGAAGGACAGACAAATGACGTATATAACGTGACACTTATCATCGAAGGTGTATGCTCTATCTTTGATGTTGTAGTTCTGTTCGGTCTTTCAGTATATTGTAGTGTTTTGGATTTGAAGAACGTTATCATGACATAACCCTTTTCGATCAAAGAATCATGGGCAATATCATAAATGAGTCAAAACTTTTCTCAGTAAAATTTATCACTATATGAGTTATTGTATGCACACATATTGCCGTTTGATTGGATCGCAAAACTTTTATTACTGCAGGTCAAAAAACGACCAAAGCGAATGACTTAAGAAGACGTAAGATTGCAGTATAAGATCAACATTATCTAGAAAACTAGAATTGTTGCAAATTGTAGTATCATCAATAAGATAAGTCGAGAATAAACAGGTGCATGAGTCCAAATTTTATAACTGTCGAAAGTTTTTTTTTTTGGGGGGGGGGGGGGTTAATTTTCTTGCTTGCAAAAGGTTTTTACATCGGATGTGACCTTGAGAGGTCATACCGGTGTTATGTTGCCGCAGAAATTTCATTGCGCTTTTGACTGATAACCGACCGTATTTCATATAAATAAGCGGATATTATCGAGTGCCAAATAACATTCCTTATCACTTGTTATAAATTCATTTCTTCAGTGAATACTCATGGAAATATTTTTTAAGAACATAGATAAATGATATGAAAATGTTTTGTCGTGAGAAATATATATATCAGTAACAAATCATGAATACCGAAAATTTGTGTTAACGCATGCGGAAGAATATCTCGAGAAATGATCTGCTATATATGACTGTTATACAAATATTAATATAATATGTAACAACAAACCAGATTATACTGAAAACAAATGATTATATCACTGCAATATAATAATTATTACGGTGAGGTTAAATTCCCTGTCATTTATTCATCATCCACACAGGAACTTGTCTCAGAAATAAATATATCTATGTACCTTAATCTAACTTTCAGGTATAGAGATATGAATTTTTTTCTGAGACCATCCACCAGAACTTGCGGTCATCCGATGTTCAGTTCTTCTGTACTTTGATATTTAACTTTGTCGTCAGGTGTGATAAGATATCAGTATGAACGGGGTAATGCCGTATTTCTGTCTTTGTCGTCAGGTGTGATAAGATATCAGTATGAACGGGGTAATGCCGCATTTCTGTCTTATGTAATGGTAATTTTGTATTGGGAAAGACTTGGATATCTCATCCGTTGTCGTTTTTCTTGTTTTGACAATAAAATATATTTAAAGTATAGTAATGCTGTATTGTGTGTATTTTATACTTGTGGTACTTCAAGTATAGTGGTTCATTCCGTTTATTTGACATCAGTCGATCAATATATCGTATATGGACCGTGACACCAGATTGATGAATATGATATACATTTTGACGTCATGAATGTTAACAATGACCTTTTTGAAAAATAATTGAAATTTTGTTTCAGTAAAGTAGAATAAAATGCTACGCTGGGCGCAGCTTGATACGACCGCAGAGGTCGAACCCTGAACAGTTGGGGGCAAGTATGGAAACTACATTCAAGCTTGACACAGCTCTGAATTTGGATTGTGATTTTTAAATATTTGACACAGCATAGGTTTCTGACACAAAATAAATGTGGTCAAAGAACTGAAAAATTTGAAATTTGACTTTAACCTATTATGGTCCTATATCCAAAAAGTTAATACACGGTTAGATTCAGCATATCCAAAAACACCAATAATTTTATTTATTTATTTGTTAAGGGACAAATTTAGCTAAGTTTTTAAAGGGGTTCGCGTCATAAAAAAAATAAAGAATTAAATAGCATTCCGAAAATCAATTTAAACAGAATAACAAACCAACCTACCACGAAATTCTTAAAAAAAAAATTCCCACTAAATGAAAAAAAAAACAAAAAACAGTTGTCTTTAAAAAAAACCTACAAAACTTATCTTTAATTATTTTTTAAAATATCTAATAATGAACAGTAAATTTCAAACTAGATTTATAAACAATTTCTTTTCTAAAATTATAATTTGATGATGTATCTATTTTCAACCATGAATCTTCTTACAATTTTTAGTATTAATTGTGCAATACAGCTCTGAATTTGAATTGTGATTAGATATTTGACATAAAATTGAGAATGGAAATGGGGAATGTGTCAAAGAGACAACAACCCGACCATAGTACAGACAACAGCAGAAGGTCACCAACAGGTCTTCAATGCAGCGATAAATTCCCGCACCCGGAGGCGTCCTTCAGCTGGCCCCTAAACAAATATATATACTAGTTCAGTGATTAGGTATAGCATAGGTTTCTGACACAGAATGAATGTGGTCTAAGAACTTAAATATTTGAAATTGGACATATACATATTATGGTCAAATATCCAAAATCTAAATACATGGTTAGATTCAGCATATCAAGAAACCCCTTGAATTTTTTTTTGTTAAAATCAAACTACCCTTTGGACCTCAATGTGGACCAATTTAAAAATGGGGCCTAAAATCCCTAAACACACAGTAAGATTCAGCATATTAAAGAACCCCAAGAATTCAAGACTTTGAATTAAACCCTATTAATATTGGACAAGAAATAAGCAATTTATACAAAGTATTTTTTGGCCCTTTTTCCTAAACGGTTAGGGCTATAACCCCCAAAATCAATCCCAACCTTCCTTTTGTGATATGGAACCTTGTGGTACAATTTCATAGTGATCCATTTACTTATACACAAGTTATTGTCCCGAAACAAGAAAAATGATTGTTTTTGGCCCCTAGTTCCTAAACTGTTAGGACAATATCCCCCAAAATCAACCCCAATCTTCCTTTTGTGGTATGGGACCTTGTTGTACAATTTCATAGAAATTCATACAATTATACTCAAGTTATTGTCTGGAAACCACATGTCTTCGGACGACGACAACGAAATATCAATCTACTATTTATGTATTCCAGAATAGGACAATTACATTATTATTTTGAAGAGTTTAATGCAGTGTGTACCTATAATTGCTATAAAATATAAATGATTGAGAAATTTAAGGTAACTTAAAATATAATACTGTACTGTAGTTTGTATTCCTTAAAATAGAACAAATAATGTGAATTCGAGCCAAATAGTAGTTTGTGGACCTTAGTGTCATCTTTTAAAACTATGTGGATCTCAGCATCACTTCGATAATTGATTAATGTTATGGTTTACAGATATGTATCGTCCTTGATAAACAACACAAACACGGAAAACATTCATTCAAAACACATATATTCATATACATTCTAAAACAATATATTTTATACTGAATATTCATATAACAGGATCAGTTAAAAGCAATAGTCTATTACATCGCCATGTATATAGTTGGCCACATTTAAAATATTGTGTCCAAATGTCTATTCCATAATCCACATATTCATTCATAAAATCTCATATCGAATTATATCCAGCCTTTAATTTTGCTGTATTGAAGGTCAAGGAAAATCCCTCCTGAAAAATCATAACAAATCATTTTTTGTCGAAAAATCTAATATAACAAAATCATTCCATATTAACTATGATTATGACTTGATGATATAATCAAAGGGTGTCAGGACACGGAGTCATAATGATTACTAGTAATTTAATCTAGTATGCTGTTCGGTCAAAACATAATTGAAACCATCGCCCATTGTCCAGCAAGGGAGAATAAAAAAGAAAGGATATGGGGTATCTATCCATTACACAACATCAGTATCTATTAAAATTACCTCTAGTTAGTGATAAAAAGTGCCAGTGTTAACATACATAGATCAATTTATGAAAATCAAATTAGACCAAACATCGCATGAATTTTTTTTTAGAGCATTGATTCGAAATTCTGCTTAATATTTCCTATTCAATTGTTGGAAATAATGATTTTTTTTTATGTATCGCTTTGTCTTTTTAAAATTCGTAAGGTAAACTCAACAAAAACATTGCAGTGAAAGTATTCGGAATAACATGAAATTCAGCATGAAACCAGCTAGATGTGTTGACAGGCTTGAGATAATATATATGCAAACCCAATTTGAATGGCTAATCTCCAATTTCCGATTAAACAGAACGGCATCTGATAAATATTAAGCATTTGAAACACAATAAGAGAAATCATGTGTACCTTAATCAAGCCTGGTAATGCCACCCAGAAACCAAAGTTTGGTATTCTGTCTTTGCCCTCTGCCTTTTTCACAGCTGTTTGGAATGCGAAACCTCCGATAAGGTAAACAAATAATAAGACAACAACTCTGAAATGGAAGTGAAATCATTTTAAAGTGTTGAAAGATTAACATATATTTTTTCGTAAATTAGAAATGATTTAGAGCCTGAGCTTGTATAATTGTTAGGAGTAAATTTAGGCTATTTTGTCAATAAAACAGCACATTTGGTGGAGACAACGTCAATTTGATAGAAAAATTCGTAGTACAGAATTATTCATTCGACAAAAGTACATTTATGTTTTTTCTTGAGATTTTTTAAATTTACCATATCTGTCGTATTTGTGTTTAATCATCTATAATATTATATGACTATAAAAGTTCTCTTTTCTCATTGGCTTAAAACGTAGGAAATTGTCTTTGACGAAATGTTATATTCAACGCGGGAAAAATCACGAATGAACGATTCTGTCCTACACATTTTTCTATCAAAATGACGTGTTGTCTCCACCAAAGGTGCTGTTTTATTGACATTCATATCCAATGTGTTTTTTATTATTTGATAAATTCGTGTATAGAATTGAAAAAAAACATATTAACACCAAAATAAGCCAGAATTCGTGGTTGTATATTGCAACAAAAGAATACCCTCCATTTGGCTATACTTTAGGTCCTTTCTGGTTTGATCCGCTCTTCAACATTTGAGGATATGGCTATTATTTTAGGTCATTTTTGATTATATAGCTCTTCAACTGTTTCGGTTTTATACATCCTTGGCTTTCAAATATTCGGCTTTGAGCGTTCCTGGTGAAGGTAAATCCAGAAAAGCGCTTCGGACGCATTAAATTTATAACGTGTTTTTTTTTCATTTTTATTTTTTGTTTGTTTTATATTTTGGATATTCCAATACATTCTGGCCTCGAGCATCACTGAAGAGACATTATTTGTCAAAATGCGCATCTGTTGCATCAAAATTGGTACTGTTCATATTATTTCAACGTTTAAACGGATACACACGCATATCATTAATGTTCTGAACATATTAAAACGATTTTGGTGTTTCTAAGTTAATACTAATTTTCAAAACTCATCTGCCGATGTATTCATATAATTCCTATTACAGATTTTTCTAGTAGACTTGGATGAAATAATGAACACTCCTCTTTTGTTCATTTTAGGCAAATTTAGATTTGAATATATTGCGTTGCATGGGACAAGAACTTACGACAGACAAGACAATTTCAAAGGTAAGATATACCGATTTCTTCTACAAAGGTACAGAGTTGTTAAAATCAATCTGAATATCTACAAAATCCATCCGTTGCGTGAGATAGCATTTCTGGCAATTTTCAGCGTTTTTCCATTTTGCCCTTTTTTCTTCGAATTTTACATTTTGCGCGAATCAAAATTGAAGAGCTCCATCTTTGATTCGACTTTGAAGGAAAGCTATCATATCCAGGTTCTAAGCTGAAAAACGGATGCAACGGAAATTGTGAGGGAACAAGATTATTCAAAGCCAAAAAGATAAAAAAAAAACAACAAAAAACAAGCAATAGTTTTGGTGATTATCAAATATTTTGATGGGCATGACGGACAAAGGTCTATTATCAGACCTGCTTTTCTCAATGGTTTAATTTCTATTTATTTTCTAAAAGCATATGGCTTCATTGAATAAATACAGTTTACACAATACACATGGTGTGGTAATAGGATAAGCTTGCACAATTTGGTCAGGTATCATCTCCCATTTGTGGTCTGTAGTTTCGCATTTTACAGAATTATACATGTTCACTAACTTAATATTTCGCTTGTATAATTACACAATCAAAAGAATAGATCCACCAGACAAACCACCACTGGAACCAGACGTGTCTTTAGTTGGACAGGCGTATTTGCTAGCCAAATACAAATACTGAAAACAATAAAGAAATCATTTTCATTTGAAAACTTATACGTAAGCTAATATCTCATGAAATTAAGTACAAAACTATCCTTCCTATAATACCCCCATCACACTAGGACCACGATCCCACTACGACCTCAGAAATTATGAAAATTTTGGAATCGTAGTAAGATCCTGGTGGTAGTCATAGTAAGGACGTGCCAAGGTCTTCATGGTCGTGGTTGTCCACGACCAACTTTGAACATGCTCAAAACATTCGTAGTGCAGTCGTGGTCAAAACTAGTCGTAGTAGAAGCGTAGGAAGGTCTAGTAAGGACGTAGTAAGATCGGGATGGGCGTAGAAGCATCGTATTGGAAATCTTGGTGCATTCGGGAAGCTAATGGAAAAGATTTCGCTGCGACCAAAGTACGATTTCACTGCGACTATTCCGATTTCGCTGTAAGTCTTTATTGCGCTTCTACTACGATATTGATACGATTATACTACGATGAGGTAGACAATAGTACGCTGCTACCAAGCGCTTGCCGTCCTTACTACGATACTACTACGTCCTAATCACGATAATTGCACGACCTCATTCTATTGATATAAAAAACGCATGAAATAACTTCTACCTGTAGTTCAACCATGGACACACATGAGCAAAACCTACTTCTGCAATCTTTAATTAAGCTGCACTGTATCGATTTGGCTGATCAGGCTAAACTTTTAGTAATAAGAAGGAGAAGACATACTAGACAGCGTAGGTCCTGTTGGATGCGCCCTTTCCTTTTTGTTGAAAGAAGACTCCAGTTTGGGCATTACGACCGACTCATGAAAGAATTAAGGATGGAGGATCAACAGTTATTCTTTATTTTTTTTAAGGATGCCTCCAGAAATGTTTGATGAACCTTTGAACAGAGTAAGTCCAAGGAATTCAGAAGATAGACACCTGATTCAGAAAGGCACTAGATCCCGGTCTGAAAGTCACTATTACCTTAAGGCACTAGATCCCGGTCTGAAAGTCGCTATTACCTTAAGGCACTTAGCTTCTGTCGATATGTATCCAACCCTTTAGTACGATTTCAGAGTCGCGCGCAATAATATAAGTACTTTTATTCCTGAGGTGTTCCAGGCAATTGTACGGCAATATAAAGACGAAGTCATATCCTGTCCAACAGAACCAAATGGATGGCGAGCTATTGCCGAAGAATTTCATAGAAGATGGAACGTGCCACACGCTTGTGGCGCACTCGATGGAAAGCATGTTGCTATTAGAAGCCCGCCTAAAAGCGGATCCTTGTTTCATAACTATAAAGGTTTCTTTTCATTAGTACTCCTTGGATGCAGACTACACATTTTTATGGATAGATGTGGAGGATATGGTTCCATGTCGGACGCCCAGATTTACAACGCGTCAGAATTAAAGGAGTGTTTGGAAGATAAGACTATTGGATTTTCAGAGTCAGTTCCCTTACCTAATGACGACCTGAACATGCATTACTTCATCTTAGGTGACGACGCATTTGGGTTGAGAACTAATTTGATGAAGCCATATTCTAGAGCGCAGTGACAACGTTGTGGAAACGTAGTTGAGTCGTAGTTCGATCGTAGTAGACTCGTATTGAGATCGTAATGCGATCGGGAAGGTCTTTGTAGAAGCGTACAGAGATCGTGTAAGTCGTGGTAAGGTCTTATTAGACGTAGCAAGAGCATGACAAGATCGTTACTAGAACGTATTACTATCGTAGCGAAATCGTAGCAGGATCTTATCAGGATCATAGCAAGGTCGGGGTATGAACGTGAAAACTATGAAATATTGAATATTCAAGCCGACCATACCACAATCTCACGGCGATCTTATTTTTTTATAGATCGTAGTGGGATCTTCGTGGTCTTGGTTTAGTGTGACTGGGGCTTTTCTTTTGACGATTTAACGAAACACTTTATTTTACTTAACTTGCATGTCATGCAAAAAAAAGAATTTAAAGTTCTGCTGTAGTTGTGATGACCTTCTTTACTTTGACATAGAATCGTCAGTGATGACCATTTGAGAACTTGACTTTAAGCAAAAGAGATGACTTCTTTTTTTACGATAGTGAAATCTCAACGTTCAGAATTTGACATATGCATAATATAGTTCACAGTTAAAACGCTGTAACAAACGAAAACGGAAACCATTATAGTGTAACTGAAATTGTCTGCTCTTCTGTACTATTTCTGTTGATCCCTTGGTTTAACTGAGATTTGTGGTGCTCAATCTTTCATTTTTCTGAGTATTTTTTTTAAATTCATTAGTCTATTTTACCTAGACCATAATTTTGTCTTTCTCCGACTTATGATGTTTGTTTGACCTTTGTATTTTTTATTTAAGCTTTGTATTTTCTGTTTTCTAACTTAAAATTACACTTTTCTTACCCCTTTCTATGTAACGTTTTCAGGTAAAAGTAACTGTAAAAGTAATTCTGAAGCAAATTGGTTAGAATTTGATAGAATTAAATCACTAAGAAATAACAAAGAAATGGCATTTTTGTTGGGGTCACGTGTGCTTTAGAGTTCGTGATTGACGTTCATTCAGTTAAACGAAAATTGTTTTTTTTTTAAATTGTAAGGGAGTTAGAGTTCAAAAGACACCCAACTGCCAAACAAACTAACAAACAGAACGTTTAAGCTGAAGTCAACATCTGCCTAAATTTACCATATTTTTTTTTTAAATCTATCAAGACTAGATTACTGGTCTATTAGAACACACTACAAGGAATTCGGAATCAGAAAGAAAATTACACAAATTTCGATGACGACCATTCAGGTAACATTTCTGCCATGTTTATTCCGTTCCGCTCAATGCTTTTTGAGCAGTAGGAACAAACGGACAAAACGTTACAAAAGAGAGGCGAAAGATACCAAAGAGACATTATAACTCATAAGTCGAAAATAAACTGACAACGCCATGGCTAACAAAGAAAAAGACAAACAAAAGTACACAAAACACAACATAGAAACTAAAGACTGAGCAACACGAACCCCACCAAAACCTGGGGGTGATCTCAGGTGCTCCGGAAGGGTAATTAGATCCTGGTCAACATGTGGACCCGTCGTTTTTCTCATGGACGTCAAGTAGTAAGGAACCTTTATGTGACACTAACAGGCCATGGAAACAGTTTTTGCAATGCATATATGTTATATCATTGTATAACCCATTAGAATGATGACACTTACATAGTTACCATCAGCTACAATTTCACCTAGTACATTTAAAGCTCCCTCCTGATCAGGTTCACACTGGAGATACGTATATGTAGTTCTGTAAATAAAAAAAAAACTTTAATAATTTTATTTGTTGACTTAGCAAAGAATGTCATTATGACATTAGTTGATACTCGAAGAATCTCCATTATATGTTCATTACAAACGGCTAATCCAGGAATTTTAAAATTTGATTGCTAAGGAAAATAAAAAAAAGTCATATTCATGTTAAATCAGCTTAAATATTATTTTCAAGAAAAGATCCCTTTTCATTCATTCGGAATATGTTTGCATAGCTATTTTGCAGAGTTCTAGCCGATGTTCAGATCTCTTGACCGATTCAGATGAATTCAAACGAGAAAAAACAATTAGAATCAAGATTCCAAGAATTATTACTGATCGATTAATATCCCTTGTAATGTGAAAGTCAACTGGTTTAAAAATGCCGGTCTTGTGGTTTGTGTTTGTTCCCATTTCAATGTTATTAAAAACCAGAACTTAAGCCTTAGTTTTAACCATTCAAATGAAGACATCCTTTTCATTAACCGTAATTTCCCTCTCGAGAATTAAAACGCTTCTGAAACCGGTCGCTGAAATTAAGAAATGAAATTATAGTCTGAATCAATCGTTTCCTTTGTGAGCTTAATAAACATCATTTCACTCAAATGTTTTCAAAGAAGTTGAATAATTAAACGTTCAAATATTTCCAGAATATCAAAGATATGTTTTAAAGTGAAAGAAAGATGTAATGCAATATAACAGTTTATATATTAAGTAAAATCATGTACAATCTCATCAAAAATACTCGGGAGATAACTCACAAAACATCCGTTAACTATCGGACCCGTTAACGGTACCACAAACATTGTGATGACGGGTGTGCTTTGCGTCAGTATGCAAATAAGGCGTAATGAATGTGTTGAGTGCTTATAATTTCGTACGCCAAACTGAGCGCGTTTCGCCTACATAAGACTGACCACTTACGCTCGAATCAGAACAGTTGGAAGGCCAAAACAAATACAAAATTGAGGAACATTAAAACTGAAAGATCCGAAAAGTTATATTAGTACATGAACTAACTTCAAGTGAAGTGACGTTTAAAGCCACGATGTGAAAACCTTATCTGCAGTTTTCTACTAAACAATAAAAATTTCAGATATTTTTTTCGATAATACATCACCATTTTTCAGAGGGACATGTATTCATTCAAAAAATGTCGATTTCGCGGGATGATCAGAAAAGCCTCTATAATGAGATAGATCTTATCAGGTTAGAACCCTTACTTATTTTTGCTTAAACGCCATAACAAGTTCCCGAACTGTATGAGAGAAGGGTCAAGTTGGGTCTGTATAATAAGACCCCGGAAATCCTTCAACATGACCGCGAAAAACTTCATGTCTCTTAAATTTTTGGAGACTGCGGGAAACGTTTATTTTTTTTTAAAGAAATATATTATAATCCGTTCTTTACAGACATATTGTTCTTAGATCGCACATAAATTCACCGAAATGATTAACGCGAGATGTGAGCATATCACGAGTCACATGATATTGCGACTGACAAGTGTAGTGTAGCACCTACCCCTTATTTAAAATGTTTTTGTAGTAGAGACGGGGTCCTCAATAAATATCCTAGCGAATCCAAAACCTTTAACTTACTTCTCTGTGCAGTAATTCTTTGCGGCTTTGTCTTTTTTAGGGATTTTTCCTACACATCATTATGGATACGATTTCCCGAAATGTTTTATATCCGATTACCTAAAATATTAATAACAATACTAGTTATATGCACTTCGTTCTCTTTCACATGTACACGTACCACGGTTCTCATGTTGAATTTAATGACACAAATATACTGACCTCAATACATCACTCGTTGCTGAATACACAAGAGCCAGTCCGTTTTGTTCATCATACTGAAATCTTGCACTATCTTGTGTTCCCGCACTGAACCCAGCACCATTCCGTATCTGACATACCTAGAAAATATGTTATTTGTATATTCAATATTCCCTGCACTGAACCCAGCACCATTCCGTATCTGACATACCTACAAAAAATGTTATTGGTATATTCAATATTCCCTGCACTGAACCCAGCACCATTCCGTATCTGACATACCTACAAAAAATGTTATTAGTATATTCAATATTCAAACCACATTTCAATAAGATTGAGATATTGGGATGGATATTACACCGCCAAAAGACAAATATATTCTGAAATAAAAATAAGAATTCCAAAGCAACATTGGCGGAATATTGAAGGGTGAAAACACGAAACCAATACAGAATTGACGTATGAAGCCTCTTCAAGCCGATGGGATACAGGTATACATGTGCCCCCATTGTTGAAAGCCGTACGGTGATCCATAGTTTTTACGTCATTTGGTCTCTAGTTGAGAGTACTCTCATTGGCAAGCGTACTTCCATATTCTTATTCGTATATGCTACACCTAATATTGTAAAGAACAACAAAACACTTGAGACACAATATTTGTCAATGGAATCAGTAAAACTTCAAATCAAATTTGTAGAGAGTCTACTTGGAGTAAATTCAAAGGCGGTTAATATAGCTGTATTAGCTGAATTAGGAATATCCTCCGTTTGTGTACAAGCTCTCAAGTCTCGTGTAGGATTCTGGCTGCATATTTTAAACTCAAAGGAGTCTTTACTATATAATGTATATAAAGTTAACCTCTGCGTTATTTAATGAAAATAACATTACATTTGGGGAAAATCGTATGTTTAATGATGGGAATTTACTTATTGGAAATAAGTTAAGAACTTGTAGAAAATGTAAAGTAAAGTACGAACTTGAATTTATATAAAAATGTTATTAAAAAACGATGCCAAAATAAGAATAAGAAACAGCAAAGAACATGCTTGCTATTGAACGCGGTAGATATAATAAAACCACTTTAGAAAATAGATTGTGCCCCCTATGTAATACAGAGATGGAAGAATGATATTACCTAATGATATGTGCACAACTCAATAACTCTATAGAATGAAGAAGTTTAATGAAATATCTAATAATTATAGTTATATTTCAATGGGTAGTTTTCTTATGAAGAAAATGACATACTGATAATTATTGTTAATGGCAACAGTTAAATATATAATTACTGAAACAACATTAACAATCGTTTATATACTGTGTATTTTACATGTATGAATTTATATGGATATCTTTTTTCTGTTATGAATGAATATAAAAAATATATATACTAGAGATAAGCAAGATATCACCTACATTACAACATATACTCAAAACATCTAGTAACAAGAATGTGTCCATAGTACACGGATGCCCCACTCGCACTATCATTTTCTATGTTCAATGGACCGTGAAATTTGGTGGTCAAAACTCTAATTTTGCATTAAATTAGAAAGATCATATCATAGGGAACATGTGTACTAAGTTTCAAGTTGATTGGACTTCAACTTCATCAAAAACTACCTTGACCAAAAACTTTAATCTGAAGCGGGACAGACGGACGGACGGACGAACGGACAGACGAACGAACGGACGCACAGACCAGAAAACATAATGCCCCTCTACTATCGTAGGTGGGGCATAGAAATTGATAAGTTAAAATTGTTCACTTTAGAACACAATCTATTACAGGAACAAATTTTGAATTCCTGTTGAGTGGAAATCAGTTAGATAAGCTATCAAAATAAATGTATCTTGATTTACTATTAACTGATTTTAACTGAACTTTTGGATTATAATGAAATGGCAATTATAGTAGCAAGAGTATAATGTCGCTAAATGTAAAATAAATGGTGGTTTTGAATATTTTACTTTTACTAAGTCAAGAACACAAATGCATTAATGCTGTGAAAAAAAGGCAATATGGGTGTTGGAATATACACAGCTAATGTAGCCCTCTATAGTGTCAGATCTGGGTTGGATGCCATGTATTTTGAAACTGTGGTCATGTATTTTAAGAACATGGTGTAGATTAACAAAAATAACAGAATTAATATAAGCAAAAGTGTGGGAAAATATTATATGTAACCAAAAGGTATTTGGCACTTCTTTTGTGCATCTAAAAGCAAAGCATTGGCCATTGCATATGCTCTTGGTAATGCAAAGTCCACTTTCACACATCCTTCAACAATCTGGATCACTTATAACTGGAGTTATTGATTGAAATGAGGCAGTTGCACAATGAACATGATCAAGATTCTATTAGCTGAGTCTAGAAGTGATAATTTTATTACAAAAAAAGGAATTAAATTAACACCCTAATACACATGTCTATATTTATTACCAATAAATTTGAAACAATGGTATATTCAATTAAATCCCTATCCATTACAGTACCTTTATATCAATGTAAAAGTACCCTAAAGTGTAGTCCTCTGTGCGAAGGGTGCCCTTAAAGTGTATTCAATCGCGCTAAGTGTGCCCTTTGAGAAAAAAAATACCCTGCCCTTTTGAAAAGCTGCAGGAAACACTATACCACAACAAAACTAGCTCACTGTACGGGTATCACTTACATTTTATCCGTAAAACAAAATAATCTTGAAACGAGAATATTTTGGCAGTACCTTTTTCATTTTGAATACTAGAACTTTTTAGATAATTAGAACATTTTAAGTAGATGTTCATATCCACTAGAAATCTCCATCAGTTGACTTTTGCAGCAATTATGAGTCTTTGAAGCATGTCACAAAGGGTCTTTTGTTGATATCATTTGCATACTGGTCAAATTTTTTTTTATTTTGACCAGGCTTTGGAGAAGACATTTTCGAAGAACTAATGAAAAATAACACAGAAGTTTACTTTCTAGCTCATCTAGACCCAAGCATCATGTAAGGCATTGTCATTACTTAAAACCATTAAATATTTTCTAATCTGAGAAACAATTTCGACATTCAAATGAAATATATTTTACTATAAAGATACTGGGAAGATCAACAACAAAGTAACATAAATAGAACCATGCAAATAGTACATGCATGTATATGCATGTTCTCAGATACCATCCCCCATACAAAAAAATCACATCATGCAGAAAGAAACTTAGGTGTTCCTCTTCTAGCTACAAATGTATCCAAAATCAAAGATGTGAAACATATTTTATCATGATTATTTGGAAATCAATGGAAAAAAAATACCAGAGAAGTCTCTTTGTCAGAAGACGCTGTCAAACATTCAAACATACTATCCAAACTGATCTGTGTCCACACTCGTATATGTAATAACAAACTTAAAAATTGGGTAGTATTGAAAAATGGATAAAAAGGTTACTAAAGTTTTTGAGAACATCGGTTTTTGCTTTAAGAACAATAGTATAATGGTTTAATGTGACAATATTATTGTTTTTTATTTATTTATTTCTGTTGTGTTCTTTTTGTCAGCAGTATTATCATGCTTTACTGGAATAATATTCTCGTTCGTGTTTTACTTTAAAGAATGTTTACTGTAGGACTTACTGAAACATCATTACACGCATTTTCTGTAAAACTGTAACAAGGGTTATACGAGAAGACGTCACCAGCGCCGGCGTCAGGTACATCTTTATATCTGTAATAAAACAAATGCAAAAACAATTTAACTAAAAAACATCACAAAGAAACCTTAGCCATTTTTTCAAACCTATTGCACAGGTGCCAGTATCTTGTAATGCGTTTTATAATTGGTTCTTAGTGGTGGTTTTCTCCCTTTAGTATAGACGAAGACCATATTTGTAAGCGGATGGAATCACACAAAAAAAAACAAGCTGACAAACTGATTTTCTTTGTTTTATTTTCAGAAAAAAGGCTCTGAAAAGTCATTTGACATGTGTCAATTCTAAAACTGTAACAAAGTAACATACAGTAATCCATTCACTGCATGTTCAGGAATAATATCAAATAAATCTATTACTGTCAAATTTTCACCAGTTGTCCGCTGTCATCTTCGACAGTTAAAATTGCTTAAATGTAAAAAGACAACTTTTCGTATTTATTCAGAACGACGACAAATTAAGCAACACCCAGCCATCAATCGGGTAAGGGACAATTTGTGCTCTTATCACACTGCTTAACGTTTGTGTGTTTGGATTTAAAAATATTTTGGATTCGAAACTCTCTAACGAAATATTATTTGAAGAAATGGTTATCGGATAAATGAAAGAAGATAATAGAGTCGTTATCACTGAAAAAACTCGTATCAATACTTACTGTAAAAGTAATTTCAACTTACTTCGGGTTTCCGCTCGTCAACGCTAACGGCGATAAGTCAATGACAGTCCCATCATCTAGTCTACATTTACAAGAGTTTTCCTTAACACAAGTAAACCCATAACATCTTTCTGTGAATGATGAAATAACAAATAAAATACAAAATAAAGAATAGTGAGTCATCTTGAGAAATTTACGAATAACGAAAGTTGTAGCTGCTCCACTTCTTATTCAACTTCTAGTTTAATGCATTAACGAATTTTTCATTTGAAGATGGCTCAATTTGACATTCATTTTGCAATTAAGAGTATTTAGTTTTCCCTAAAATATCCATTTTAATAGATTAACGTGATGTTTGACATGTGATTTGATAAAGCAAAATTTATCTTAAATTGATATGAGAAGTGAATATTGTTTCACTATATATACCTGTGACATGCATAAACTATTTATCAATTTATATTTGCTCAGACTCAAGATATTGGAATTTTTATATTAGCACGCTTTATCAACTACTAAAAGTTAAAATACCATACCGGGTCCAGAAATCATGTGGTTGGAACAAAACTGATTCTGAAGATTTTAATGCCACTGCTGACATCATGTTTAGTTAGAAAGCTCATTTGACAGTCATTTAAAGCACAGTTTTGCATTAATTTTAAAACAGTTTTTCGCAATATTGTTATACATGAATCCTATGCATGAACGCATATTTTAAAATTTAAAAAGCAAGACTGCAATTTTTATGTTTTATGGAAAACTACGAGATATCCAATTTCGTAATTTTCTAAATAACGTACTATTAACTTTTCGTGGTGCATTCTTGATAACACGAATGAGGATAGCATATAAATTATTATCTAATATAATAACAATAATAGTATACAAAAAAGATAATATAAAGCATCGAGCAAAAGTTAAAAGACCAATTTCAGCACATAAATCTTTGAAAGGTTTGCGTTATAGAATTTACAAGAATATATTCAATGTATTCAATTTCGAAAAGTATTTATTGCTTGTACCATTTAATTCTTAATTTACTTTGAAAAAAAAATAGATGTGAAAATCATCGTTTGCTTGTAGGAAAGGTTATGTCAACTCTACTGCTCTTCAGATATCAACGATGACAAAAACACCCGATAACGTAGGTTATATTCACCATTCAAAGAACCCTTAGTTCAAAAGAATGTTTGTGCGCAGCCACCCTCTATCATGGAGCTATTTGGTAATATAACAGGGGCGGATCCAGGATTTTTGAAAGGGGGCGTAGAATTGAATCTTTTGCCGAGCGGAGCCAGGCGAAATTTTTTTTGGACTTTTTTTTGGCTAAAAAACATAAAATAAGTGTAAAATGCACTAATTTAACATTTCCTGACGTGGGGCATGTATATTTTATGGGTTAAAGTGTAAGGGTTGGACATTTTTGATGTCGTATTCTCCCCATTAATTGTCTATTATAAAATAATTGGATGGATCCAAAGCTATGTACCAATATATATTTGATGTGGGATTTGTCAGTAAAAAATGGACATGGAAAAATTCTCCCAAGCCAAGTCAGTCACTGAAATAGAGGTCACAACTAGCATCTGAAGAATGCATTGCGAATTTGTGTTTCGCACCCCAGATGCATCTGATCATACATACTAATATAATTGATGTTTTACTTCATTCACTTATCAATAAAAATAAATCCACAAAAAACATTTATTGAGAGTTTATAGTGATAACTTCTGTACAAATCTGTCGTCTAAGCCATAGGGTTCACCAGAAGCATCTTCCTCGGATTTCGTCGAGAAAAATCGTCAATGATTTTTCATAGTCAAGTTCAATGTTTTTATGGACATACAAAAGTAACAGGGCATTTAAGCGTTCTTCTCCCATTGTACTGCGCGAGAAGGTTTTAATATACTTTAACGACGAGTTTGCCCTTTCTGTTGAACTGGATGTTACGCTGGTCAATGAAAGTAAGCTCAGAACTTTAACGATGTTTTTAAAGATCGTGCTACACACTCTTGGGTCTGTTACGGTAGACGTTATTATAGACGGTTTGTCGGTCTGGTCTCGCCATAACTCGTTCCAGAGTCGAAACTCCTGTCTAAAAGAGTCAGGATATGGCATGTCAACTTCGTAGTAACCGACAATGTCTTCGATAGTATCATCTGATGTCTGATGATTGGAATCAAAGCCAATGCCCTTATAACGGAAATAACGGAAATACGAGCGAATAATATCTTTATAAGTAACGAATTGTCGCATAAAAATTAAATATACGGGAAATGGCAAAGTTAACGAAATTTAGTCTGATTAATCATTTTACAGTCTTAATTAAAGAAAAAAAAAAGAAAAAAGTGCAAGTAAAGGGGGGCGTCTTTTAAAGTACTACAAGCTATTGTCATGCATACGAAATATGTATTAATGATGTAAGAAACTTTTGAGAAGATATCAAACAGAAAAGAAAATCTTAATATCAAGATCAAATCTTTAAAATGAAAACCACCAAGGTTGATTGATAAATATGTTGTGAACCGAGATAAGTCAAGGTCAGTATTACTACTGTGTGTATCTCATTTGTTTAACGAGCTGATAAATAAATAGCCATTTCAGCAGTTAATAAAATCAGGACTATTGTCATATACAACATTGTACTTTTTTCTCTTTGTTTTTGAAAAGTGACATATAGTCTTTAAGGAGCAAATATATGCAAAGGTTGAATGTTAAAACTTTGCATTGATAATGATTATTATTTGGAAAAAACCTTTTTATTCAAGTATTGTCTAACAATTAAAACTAACACTGGTCGATACTTTAACAGAACAAACAATAAGCAAGTATTGTCTAACAATTAAAGCTAACACTGGTCGATACTTTAACAGAACAAACAATAAGCAAGTATTGTCTAACAATTAAAGCTAACACTGGTCGATACTTTAACAGAACAAACAATAAGCATGTATTGTCTAACAATTAAAGCTAACACTGGTCGATACTTTAACAGAACAAACAATTAGCAAGTATTGTCTAACAATTAAAGCTAACACTGGTCGATACTTTAACAGAACAAACAATAAGCATGTATTGTCTAACAATTAAAGCTAACACTGGTCGATACTTTAACAGAACAAACAATAAGCATGTATTGTCTAACAATTAAAGCTAACACTGGTCGATACTTAAGAGAACAAACAATAAGCATGTATTGTCTAACAATTAAAGCTAACACTGGTCGATACTTTAACAGAACAAACAATAAGCATGTATTGTCTAACAATTAAAGCTAACACTGGTCGATACTTTAACAAAAACAAACAATAAGCAAGTATTGTCTAACAATCAAAGCTAACACTGGTCGATACTTTAACAGAACAAACAATAAGCATGTATTGTCTAACAATTAAAACTAACACTGGTCGATACTTTAACAGAACAAACAATAAGCATGTATTGTCTAACAATTTACACTAACACTGGTCGATACTTTAACAGAACAAACAATAAGCATATATTGTCTAACAATTAAAGCTAACACTGGTCGATACTTTAACAGAAAAAACAATAAGCATGTATTGTCTAACAATTAAAGCTAACACTGGTCGATACTTTAACAGAACAAACAATAAGCATGTATTGTCTGACAATTAAAGCTAACACTGGTCGATACTTAACAGAACAAACAATAAGCATGTATTGTCTAACAATTAAAGCTAACACTGGTCGATACTTTAACAGAACAAACAATAAGCATGTGTTGTCTAACAATTAAAACTAACACTGGTCGATACTTTAACAGAACAAACAATAAGCATATATTGTCTAACAATTAAAGCTAACACTGGTCGATACTTTAACAGAAAAAACAATAAGCATGTATTGTCTAACAATTAAAGCTAACACTGGTCGATACTTTAACAGAACAAACAATAAGCATGTATTGTCTAACAATTAAAGCTAACACTGGTCGATACTTTAACAGAACAAACAATAAGCATGTATTGTCTAACAATTAAAACTAACACTGGTCGATAATTTAACAGAACAAACAATAAGCTGCCACCCTACAATAATACCGCTTTATTTAAAAAAAGCATTTGATGTAGTAAACTACTCCATCTTGTTGAAAAAGTTGGAAAATCTCTAAAGATATTCTTAATTGGTTCAAGTCTTTTTGGGGGGGGATCCTCGGGTAGACATTTCGTCCTACCCAGATCATTTTTCGAACTCACAGTTGACCAGTCTTTCCTCATACTCCTGAAAAATGCCACGTGATGGTAGATCTTCGTCTGTTTCTGCTAAAGTTTTATATGGTATTAAATATGTCTATGTGTGAACTGTTGCTTAACGTGATAAATATGTTGATTGCTTGATTGTTTGTTGCTTACTTTACGTCTAGTGGGAAATATTTAATGCATATGCAGGACGAAAAGAAATAATAACTTTCAAATAGGTATATTTGTTGTTTTTGCAATGTGGGTGACCATTTTGTTGTATCTACTTATAAGGTTTAAAATTAAGCAGTTCTTTCGTCAATACGATTATGACTTGAGGGAACCTAACTTCCATGAAACAAAATGGTGGCGTTAATTAGGCAGATAACCATACAATTACATTACTTGTAATGTTTCATAACAATCCGTACTTTTGATTGGCTGGAAGCAATTGCGTGGCATCCTAAAATCAAATTGAATTTCTCAATATTCTCATGACGTCATTTTGATATGCAAGCTACGTAGCATATCGTTCAACATAGATAGATATCTAAGACATAGCGGCTATACGAGCTGCTACGATATTGAACGCAGCCCTGGATATCACTCATAATTTCATAGTTGTAGCATATAACATTTGTAAATTTATAGGGTTGTAAAAGCGTTGATAGCGCGCACATTTTTAGTATGAAGCGTTTCGAGCCGCACATAAGACAAGATTTTTCACGCCCGGCTTGTTATTAGTTAAAATCCTAAATGATACTGTAAATGTTTAGTGTCATATACAGTCATGAATTTCAACCCGCTTTTCGTTGAAAAAAACTTGGACATTTATGTTTACTGTAAGATCTGCGCAATGTTTTAAAATAGTCATCGAACAAGATGGAGAAGTAGGAGCTGTTAAGAATATCAACTATTATTGCTCTGAAGGCAAGAAATTTGTATTTCAAAGAGGTTGGGCCTCAAACTCGGTATGTATATTCATTTTTTTTGACGACTCCTTTAATGCTCGTCTTGAATATTAATGAAATATTTGTCACTGGACATTAAGAATATTCAATCCTTCGATGCAAATTTTACTTAAATATATACAATTTTCCCTTTTTAAATCAACAAAATTGTCTTCAATAGCAAATTAGCAATTTACATTTTGATGTTATGGACAAATGGTAAACTGTTGCTAAATTCTGAAAGTAAATGATTCAAACATTTTTCTATATTTGAATTCCACTAGGTTTAAACAACTTTTGGTAATACCCCCTTACTGCGTAAAACAATACAGGGGGATGTTAAAATTAGATTCTTTATCAACCAATGCCTTTCAAAAATTGAATTTGTTGTTACTGATGACAAAATGAAGGTCAAATTCGTTAATGACGATTTAACCGGGTTTGCTGTTATCTGACATCTTCTTGTTTAAATGAATTGACAAAACCGTAACTATGATTAGCAAGCATTGCTAAGTTTTGCAAATTGATAAAAGGATAGAGTAAATGTTTCCCAGGAATTATATAATTTAAATTCTTTAATTCTGAAAATTTAGATTTTTTTGCAGGTGACCGCTGTTCAAGACAGAGATAAATTAGAAAAAGTTTGTTCAAATGGCATATAATTTGTTTTTTTTACCTTTTTTCAATAGGACCCACTTGGGGGGGGGGGGGACTTATAACTTCCTATTCTGTAAAGTCTGTAATATGGACGTTAGTGTATAGAGCACTAAGTAAAAATAGTCCGTAGTGGTATACGCTAGATCCTCCCCTAAAACCTTATAATGTACATACATTTTGTAGTGGTATACGCTAGATCCTCCCCTAAAACCTTATAATGTACATACATTTTGTAGTGGTATACGCTAGATCCTCCCCTAAAACCTTATAATGTACATATATTTTGTAGTGGTATACGCTAGATCCTCCCCTAAAACCTTATAATGTACATACATTTTGTAGTGGTATACGCTAGATCCTCCCCTAAAACCTTATAATGTACATACATTTTGTAGTGGTATACGCTAGATCCTCCCCTAAAACCTTATAATGTACATACATTTTGTAGTGGTATACGCTAGATCCTCCCCTAAAACCTTATAATGTACATATATTTTGTAGTGGTATACGCTAGATCCTCCCCTAAAACCTTATAATGTACATATATTTTGTAGTGGTATACGCTAGATCCTCCCCTAAAACCTTATAATGTACATACATTTTGTAGTGGTATACGCTAGATCCTCCCCTAAAACCTTATAATGTACATATATTTTGTAGTGGTATACGCTAGATCCTCCCCTAAAACCATCCTCCCCTAAAACCTTATAATGTACATACATTTTGTAGTGGTATACGCTAGATCCTCCCCTAAAACCTTATAATGTACATACATTTTGTAGTGGTATACGCTAGATCCTCCCCTAAAACCTTATAATGTACATACATTTTGTAGTGGTATACGCTAGATCCTCCCCTAAAACCTTATAATGTACATACATTTTCATATGAAAACACATGAAACCTTGACACAAATTCAAGATAGAGTTTTGTATACAAGACAAACGTACAGTATCCATATACGTGGTTGTATTCAATATTGTATAATAGAACGAGATTCAGACCTTATTTCGTTATATTATTTTTCAGTCGTATTTCAGAATACTTCTAAATAACCAAAAAACCTTGTAGTTCAAAAACACGAAAGAATGTTCATGTACATATAATTTAAAGGTAAATTTAATGGTTAGCAAAATAAATAAATAAATATTATATATATTTAGACTTGTATGTCTGCCTATGTGTGGTGACAACTGTAAATTATACCTTCTAAAAATAGAACAGCATCCTATAATTATACTAAAGAGATGAGTAGATGATCACTTCTGTACACTTAAAAATACTTTGTGTATTGCGTCTAGATGTCCTTGTTTAATTCCTACGAGAAGGTAACACCTCCCAAAACGAAAGCTTATTTATATCAGCTATAGTTAGAGGAGAGGATAAGGCGTCTGCGCAATGCTAGGCGGTGTTGCCGTATAAGTATGAAGTGAAAAGTACAAGTTCCATCCCCGCTCGCGGAGGAAGTAAAGAATCAAATCTACTCTAACATTGTTAGGTTGATTTTCTAGGCACTTTATATTTAGACTTGTATATATACAACTCGTCTAAACATCAGCCCAACAATGTTAGAACTGTAAATTTGCTTTCGCAATTTTTTTGTTCTTCCCTCGCCGGGATTCAGACGTACTTATATATATATATAAATACGGGAAAAGCATTGGATGATATATACGTATATTCAAGTTTTAATATTTCATTTATTGTCGATGTATGTTATAAACGCTATGTGTAATAACCGTTTGACTGCTCTACATTATTTTAAACGTTGAAAATATATACTTCATAATCTCATTTAAAACATAACCGTTTACTGATAAAATGTAAAAAACGGCAAAATTATAAAAAAAACTAGACAAAGTAATGCCCCCGCACTCCACTCTGAAGTAACTGTATTATATAACAAAGTCAATGTAGGACTTTCTTTGAGATATTATTGTATTTGGGAGACACAAATGATGCCCCCGCAGATGCATAGTGCTATTTTAAAATACAAAAAGTTGAGCATGGGAGCACATAGGTCTATGGTTCATTGTAGGAGGAGTTATCCGGAAACGCTATGCACCTCTTATGCAAGTATATACTCCAAAAATGACAAAGTTCAACTATCTCCCAAAAGAGCAAATATTAATAAAAATCAAAACCCTGACCACATGCACACCTTCAATATATGTACAAACAGCCAGCAAAGTTAAAACTTCCTAGCATTCAAAATGTAGGAGGAGTTATGCGGAATAGATATATACCAATAATGGGACGGACGGACGGACGGACGGACGGAAAGGGGTAAAACAATATGCCCCCAAACTTTTAGTTACGGGGGCATAAAAAGCATGAAAATTTAACTGATGCATACTGAGATCTAATACAGAGATTGAACCTGACCCAAACAGATTTTGACAGAGGTTGTATTTTGTCATAATCGCATTCTCGCTAAAAAGAAAAGGGCGACGCTTGAGCCCTTCGATATGTTCACCTTAAGACAAAATGGTTTTAATAATAGCAATTTGTTTTTTTCAGTGATGACAAAAAGAAATAAAGTTGATATATATATTTCTTTAAACTTTTGCACGAATGTTTGAAAATGTTACTGATATTCGGATAACACAATTTTTCATTATTGGAGAACCTACAGGGCCAAACCAGACACAAGATGTACCTTCTCTTTTATTATTTCATTTGCATACACACAGTAATAAATTTATAAACAATAACAAACAGTTCACATTGAGGACGAAATTCAATGAGACAAGACATTTAGATTTGAGGATGTTGGTTTATTCTTTGTTTTTCGTCAATTTCTTCATATTCCGATCTTCCACAAGTAAAGACATACACAACACCAGTCTACAAAAAATGCCATACATTATATGTTATAGTAAGTTTTGATTTTATTATTAGTAAACTCGATTTATTATAATCTCAATTGTTGCACGGACCGCTGCACATATGTATAACTGTATCTGAACTAGTATTGGACGTTTATTGCTATACATTGAAGAACAACAATATACCATGACAAAGCTTAATTACTTCGGAGATAAAGTATCGCAAACTGCGCTAATATATATATTTTTGACATGCATGATAGTTTGATTAATCTGTACATAAATCCGCAAATGCAAGCATAACTTTTAGATGATTCTGTCAGTATATTTGTATTGTTAATTGTTTATCTGTGTTATTTGATGTATTTAGTACTTAGCGATCCGATTGTTTGGATTTTACACTAATAAATATGTCGTATCATGATTTATGTTTCAGTTCTAAGTAAAAAGATGAAAATGATCAATCTTGATTTGACAAACTTCTGTTTGGTATTCCAGTGCTTTGCTTTTAAGCCAATTGGCATTCCATTTGCGCCAAAATAAAACATTCCATTTGCGCCAATAATACAGGTAAATAGTATAAATAATAGATCTACATTGAAAAAGAGACTTTAATAATAATGTTACAAAATAGTTTTGATAGCATAGTATAACATATTTATCATAAATCACATTCATCTATAAACCACAATGAAAGCATTAAACACTACATCTATTGTGATTCTGTTTTGGCTATTTTTTGAGGTATATCTATACGATTGCCTCTGTTTTTCAATTCATTAAATATCCTAAATGTGAGGTCATAAAACATTACAAAAGTATATCTGGATTACCTTTCTATTTTTCTCAGAATGAATTTACACTTTACAATTTTATACCTTTTAGTGACTCTCAGTTTTGTATGAGAAATGAGTATGAACTCACTTACTTAATTTAGGGGGGGGGGGGTACAGCATTTCTTAAACGATTCTGGTATTCAGGATACGACTTATATCAAAACGTTTCCGATATGTTTTACCTGTAAATTGGTGCAAAACCAGTATTTACTTTTGGCGCAAATTAAATACAATCATGTGGCGCAAATGAAGTACAACCCTGTGGCGCATATGAAATATTGCATTTATTTAAAAATTGGCACAAATGCAAATGCAATGCGCCCTTGTATTCTTTAAGTTTGTTTTAAATATGTCTGTCATATTTGTTTTTCGCGAATAGTTTTGTTATAAATTAGGCCGTTAGTTTTCTCAATTGAATTGTTTCATATTTTTCATGTCGGGGCCTTTTATAGCCGACTATACGGTATGGGGTTTTCTCGTTGTTGGAGGCCGTAAGGTTGCCTATAATTGCTTACATCCACTTTATTTGAACTTTGGTGGATAGTTGTCTCATTGGCAATCATGCCTCATCTCCTTGTTTTTATATTGTACCATTATTTTTCAGTACGTATCGTGTGCTACGTCCAGAAAATCTACTACTCCGTCTCGTGAAGATGTTTTACCATGTACCAGTACCACAAATTTATAATGACAAGTTCATTTTATAAATACGTATGCTAACACATTTGTTTGCACAACACGTGTATCTGGAATAACCTTCATTAAATATGCTCGAGATCGGAAGTTTGAAAAGACATAATGTCAATGGTTTCAGAGCGAAAAAAAACCACCAAAATACCCCTAAACGTAGCCCTAGGTAGTTACGCTCTTAGTTTTAGTGCAATTACATAATTCATGAATTTGAAATCTACAGGAAAATGTATCATTTAAATAATCATCAATACCGAAGCACTTGCTACTTGGCAGCTGATATCTTTGGGGATTAATAGTGCAGCGACAGAACCGACCAATCAACACATAAAGGCTTTGAATATGCAAACGTAAAGTACATGTATACCTTTATGGAGGAGCCAACGGCTGCCCAGAACGAATAATTTGGGATTATTTCTTTTCCTGAAGCTCCATTTATCTTTTGATATGCCATACCTCCCAGTAAATATACTCCAATTAAAGAAGCAATTCTACAGTATGAAAAAAAACAAAACATTATTATGTGTTAGTTAATCCAAAAGGTTTAAAAAAGAAAGAAAAAAAAACTAATCCCTAATAAGATAAATATGATGCTAGAGAACGGATTATAATCTCCAAAAAGATTAAGCGTTCTTTCAATTATTGAAATAATTATTTTTTAATGATGTAGTTTACTAAGTGTGCTCTTTCACAATTCCTTCTTTCATTGATAATAAAGTCTACTAAGTGTGAACTTTACATATTTACTTCTTTCGTTAGTAATACTTACATTATACCTATAACGGATCCAGCACTCAAACCATTGCTCGGATTTGTTATAGTTGGAGACGTCGTAGATCGACACACATGCTTGCTATGTAACTCAAAATACTGCCAACAAAAAATTATGAGAATATATGTAAAATCTGATCAAATAAGGACAAGCTTTTTTTTCATAGAATCAGTTAAGATCACATCTGGGTTTTTACAATCCATCATACATGTTATTAATCTGACATTATTATCTACCTTGATTTGTGGTCTTTTTCAGTTCCATAAATCTTTAAAAAAAGTAAATTATTAAAATTAGAGTTCATACTTGTAAGCTGATTTTGTATCCCATTTTTTATCTTATTGTTAAATTTTGGTCAATAACAAATAAAAATGCAAATTTGGTTTCTATTGTAAATTTGTACTTAAGTCATTTGAAATACAAATGATGAAACTTGACCAGGACGAACTTCTTTTAAATCTAAATCATAAGGTATGGCACGTGTTGTTTACCTTATTGACAATTTAACGTTAGACCTTACGGACAACATTTTACATAATTAAGCAAAAATAAAAATGAAATTGTCAGAGTTCGTATACTATATAGAACATGAAAAGATACACTGCAATGAAACACCATTTCCGAAAAAACTGATTTTTATTAATACGTTTTTTTCAGATTTATAGAACTCAAACATACTATATAACTAACAACCGGATATGGCTTAGAAATGATGTATGCTACATCGGCGGAGGCCATTTTAGCGAAAAAAATCGGACGTTTTAGCGCAAGATTTTTAACACATTTTAGCGAAAAATGAAATTATCAATGCCCATTTTAACGACACTGCACCTAGTTCTATGTTTAGAGTTCATGAGACCTCAGCATGTGGACCATATGTTGTTTGTTTGTGTTTGTTTGTACGTCTATTTTTTCGGAGAAGTTTTAGTGATTGCTGTTCTGTCCAATATTTTTTTGTATGATTACTGTTATCCTGTGTATGTTTTATATATACTAGCCAATCAACATCTAACAACACATGGTACAGTTAGCCCCACCTGGTACTGGCACATAATGGTAGGGACAAGCATGGTGGTAAACCTCAAATATATTAAATGTTGCTTCTTTTGTTAAGCACTTTAACAGGGAGAATTTCCGCAGACCAGCTTGGCATGGAAATTCCTGTCCTATTTTGTCTTAACTTAGATCCTAAAATGAGTTCTGCTGTATTCTGGAGTTCATAGGATTGAAATAACATTAACATTTCATTATGTAAATTACTGATCTTTTTAGAAGTTTTATTGAGCTGATACCACAAGATCAGCTTGATAACACTTTTACGGAGGAAACATGTCCTAACTTTCTAAAGAAAGTTTTAATCAATTGAAGAGTACAAAAAAGATTCAAATAGTCTCAGTTAGTTCACGTAGCGAGCTTGCAACGAGTGCGGGAGATTTTGGTTCTATCCACGGCGGGCCAACTATTATACATATAAGTAGGAATGCGATGTTTCCTATCAAGCACGTTTTAATTTCGTGTAAAGAAAAATAAAACCTGGACGACTCCAAGTTGGAAAATACATCAACGTTTGTGACAGATCTTCCTGTGAACTTTTAAAAGGCACGTTATAAAATCGGACTCGAGTGCGTGTCGGTCTAATACAAAACATGACATCCTCTGATTCATTTCACATTAACCAATTATCGTCCTGAATATTTATTTAATGTTAGCCGCTAAACGTTCAGCAGTAATCTATCAATTTCATTTTTTCAGTTTTTAAGAGTGGATACCGCGAGAGTGAGACCACTAAGTCTATCCAAAAAAGGAAAACCACGCCTAAATGATTATTTTCTGCCCATGATGACAAAATTTAGACATACCCTTTCATATCAGATTCACGAACACACGATGACGATCGTTATTCAGGAAAAGTTGCTTAGTGAGAGGTACAATGCTTACAAGTCTCTAATTTGTTTATGCGATTCCAATATTCGAATTATTGATGGTTGTTTGATCACAGTCGTCAATTGGCAAATTATTTAAGAAGATTTATATCGAATGCAAGTTAAAAAATATATATAAACAGGAATATAGAATTGGGAAGTAAGAGAATTTTGGCTGTAAACATTTGACTGTTTGCCTTGTACTAAATTCCCTTAGAATCTTTAAAGGATTGTGTTTTATCTTCTTCTCAACACGGGACATGAAGTTTGACATTACCGTTCCGAGCAGATATGGCTGCAGATTATAAATAAATACGGACGCCCCCTTAGCATAGATACTACCTAGAGTACTGCAAGGAGAAGTTTTAGTAACTCCATTTCGTTAAGGACTTCCCTTGTTCAATACATGCTATGGTTTGACGTTCTGTGTCGACCTTAACTAAAACAAAATAATTGTTGCATCATACACCTTAAAATTTAAATTGAATGGTTTAAATATTTTAAAATTAGACTTTAGCATTAAAAATATGATATAAATCTATATGACTTTATGACTTACATATTTACCACTCCCTGCAGGCTCTTCACCTGTGACAATGAATTGTCCTTCCTGCATTTCATCGCAGAACAATATTATATACGCTGTCCTGTGAATAGTAATCACAGATTTTATTAAAATGTTTTCTATGTGACTGTGTGTGTGGTTTAGAAATAGTTGCTATTTGAACATTGTATAAAGCCCTCATGGAAAATGATATTGAAAAGAGTTTGCATTCTCAGAGGTTTTTTTTTATTTGTCAAGCTACTAATAAACACTGTATCATAAATCTGAATTGAACACAATTTTCTTTATAAAACAATATTTTTAATCAAATTTGTAAAAGTGTCTTATCTAAGAATTCCTTCAACAACAATACATTTTTACTGCAAGAGAAATTTCCTACATACTGAACTATTTTCTTGTCACGAGATCAATACAGCAAGTATCGGTTGTGTCTCTGATGACGCACTTGATGTCGCGCCTTCAGGAATTTTTGCGATTTCCTCAGTTTTAGTTTTGTTTTGCCTCTTCTTAATTGATTAACGAGATTCGAACATCGTTTAACTACTGTTGCCCCAAATTACCAAAATCACTTTATTTTGACTTATATTTTTAAGATAATTTTAAGAAATTGTAGTTTTCAGTTTCTACTTCTCAAACATGGTAAACCATACAAAAATTTTATCCTATCCGATGTGACCTCATTTTGTGGATGTTCCAAGTCAGGGGTTGTCTGCCTATTTAATTTTACTCTGGTTGCTGTGGTCTGTTGTACTGTGTGGTATTTTTGGCGATTCTTGTTACCCCTTTTTGCGTATTATTACTTGCAATTCGGCGTCGTTCGAAGAGACAAGATTTTAAAAGTTCATATCCTTTGTCAACATCATTACTATAAAAGTTACTGTTTGTGATTAGGGTACTAAATCGAACCTCCATATTGTCTGAGTAATGTTTGATTACAAGATTCATTACCTGTTCTCTTCACCTGTTATACCATACTGAAGTTGAAGGTCTCCGTTTACTTCGTTATGATCGAACTTAGCGTTCTTAAGACTTCCTATGGGAACATATTTTGGAGTAGGTGCCCCAGCAATGATTTCACACATCTAAAAAGAAAATTTCTCCATCTTGTACGCCTTGTCATGTTTTTTTTTTAATTATAATAAACTAAAGAAGCCAGTTGTTCAGTGGTTGTCGTTTGTTGGTGTGGTTCATAAGTGTTTCTCGTTTTTTATATAGATTAGACCGTTGGTTTTCCTGTTTGAATTGTTTTACACTAGTCTTTTTGGGGCCCTTTATAGCTTTCTGTTCGGTGTGAACCAAGGCTCCGTGTTGAAGGCCGTACTTTGACCTATAATTGTTTACTTTTTACACATTGTGATTTGGATGGATAGTTGTCTCATTGGCACTCATATCACATCTTCTTATTTATATACACAACTTTTGAATGATGTCACAGATCTTTTGAGAAAATTAATGAGACTATAGAAACCGCATTCACAGCGATTCAAGAGAACATTTATCAGAAAAGTTATACACTAAACATGTCAAGTTTATTTTTACTAAAAAGATAGACAAAGAAAAAAAACCAGAGGCCTTTTAAAAAGGATAAACGATACCAAAAAGGGCGATTAAGGTCGAAGAAAAACAGACCATACAATGTAAAAAGAAAACAGACAAACAAGAGTTTGTAAAACAGTACACACAAAACTAGTTGCTGTTCCATTTGTGGTACCTGTTGTTCGCTCATGGCTAGTAAAAATCAGAAGACGAGTCACATATGAGTTATCACAATTGAAAAAGAGGTGATTTTGGTTACGCAATTAAAACATATCGGTTATATGTTATCAAACGTGACACAGATATTCCAAAACGGTCAAGCAAATCATGATGGCACTTGTAAAATCTTCAGAGAGATCATTTAAATTTCTACATTAAAAGCCACTGGTTCAATAGCCTCCTTGTAAGCAACAACCGTCTATCAAAGTAATCATAATAGGAAACGCAAGAGCTAAACGAGAGGCAAAAGACACCAAAGGGACATTCAAACTCATAAGTCGAAAATAAACTGACAACGCCATGTGAAAAATGAAAAAGACTAAAAGACAAACAACAGTACACAAAACACAACATAGAAAACTATAGACTGAGCAACACGAACCCCACCAAAAATCGGTGGTGATAAAGATATCAATAATGGCAAAAATATTCACTAACAACTTTTGTCAGAAATATAGAGATTTATTGTTGAAGAACTGTTAACCATTATATATGAGATCTAAAAAAAAAATATCAACACTGCAACATATTTATGTGCAAGTCCAAAGCTGGGAACCTTGTCCGTGGTTGTCCTATCTCAATTTTTTTTTTTGGTAATTTGGATAAATTACCATCGATGGCAGATCATTTATAGTTTTATTTTGAAATTATTCACAACTTTTATCGTATCGGGACGATTTTGATCTTGACAAAATGAATATACGTCTGCCTTTTGTTGAAAACTGTTCACTTAATGGAATTGTTAATGATGCAACATTTTTGTTTTACATCTAAATAGATGTTTCGGCATAAATTTTTAATTAAACAGAAAAATGGACTTTTATTTCACTCCATGTTGTAATACAAGACTGGTATGCCTAAAGTAGATTTACATATTATATTTGATTCGGTTAAAAGTTGTGCAAATTCATTAAAAGGTACCGCAGACAAATATGGTAATATATAAAATAAATGAAGTGTAAGTTGATTCTCTTCTTCGGAAGTCTCTATTCACATTGACACAGTTTCTATTTTTTTTTTACCCAACATGATGTCCTAGATTTAATCTGAAACTGTAGATTTTATTAGCAATCTAGCGAGGTCAAAAGATAACTATGCCTTTTAATATATCAGAAAAAATTCAGGAATATTTTTACTGTATCATTTTGACTCTTGTTTCTTTGAAAAAAAAGTGCTGAACCTTCATGATACAGGTACGCAAAAGATTTACTTTGAGTTTATTAAATAGAAATAGAGCAATGAAACAGTTGTTTGACTATCTATAGGTGTCACTTCTGGTTCAGCACTGGCTAGGATGTATTTCGTATCCTTTTTGTTTAGATAAACCGCCAGGAAAGAAGAATATAAAAAACCCATCAAAGATACCAGTTTCATAATTTTGTGCGCCACACGCGCGTTTCGTCTACAAAAGACTTAACAGTGACGCTCGAATCAAACAAGATAAAATGCCAAATAACGTACGAAGTTGAAGAGCAATCTAAAATACAGTTTTCATTTTTACGTAAACAATACTCTGAACTTTAAACATTTGCCTTCCAATATTAATGATAAAATATTGTTACCGTGACGTTTGAGCACTCTCCTTCATTAAACAGATGACAAGGGTTCCATGAGTATTTTGCACCACCAAATATTTCAGATTTAGCATCTTTAAACCTAAAAATAAATATACATATATAAAGCAAGAATACTATGTACTTCTTTTGTCTATATCGTAATTTGCTCCATTCAACGTGATAACTTGACCTAATATTCTGCTCAATGTATAATAATTTCCTGAAAGAGATATACCATTTACAATTCTATTGTACTTTCTAGTTAGGTACTGTTGTATAAAAATGAACATAAAATAACAAGGGGGTGACACGGGGTACTCATTTCCCAAATCCCCCTTTTTTGTAAGTTTTACCTTTTTTCCTTCTTTTCCCCAGCTCTCCACATTTTTACCCCATATATCCCACATCCCATGTTTAACCTCCATATCCCACATCACAAAAAGCGTGCCATCCCCCTCAAGGAAAATCATCGTTTATAATAAACAATTATCCCTGTACATATAACATCTCTACTGTTTTGGCGAAGTAAAGGAATAGCTAAACTTGAAGACAATCAATGTCCATGTACAAAATTGGTTCCCACCTTTATGCTGTCATCAGAAGAACACCTTTTTAAGTTTGTGAATGTTTATCATTTAGAGTGGGTGTCCATCAAAGTTTCATTTTCTGTCTACTAGGTTATCTGGTCAAATGAGCCGATTTTTGCACCCATGTGCATGTCGGAAGGACAAAAAGGACCATGGCGGATAGTGGTCTCATTGACAATCACATATTTTCATATTTTTATACTGTTTGAAAAAAGCCGAATTTCCGACGTCAACATATTGTGTACCTCTTCTAGCCGACTTTCATCCGTATTCGTATACAACAGACTTCATGTGGGGACTCCCCAAGAAGAATGAAAAGGAATATAGCATTATCCTTTAACTTAAAATTCCGTCATATAGATGATGTTAGCATAATAAGTCATAGTTGCTGACCATGTTGATAGAAATTGACAGTGAGGGTCGGTTGAAAGCTAAACTGAACAACAAAAAAGATGATTCCATTTTTACATCGCGATGACCTTGAGGTCATCCCGATGTATTGCTATCGCCTAGATTTCCATTATGTAAATTAGTTTTGGGTTTGTAACCGATCTATAAACATGATGAATACGCGCACATAAACGAGTGCAAAATAACATTCCTTATCGTTTGATATAAATACATCTCTTCAATGAATACTGATAAAAATATTTTTGTTAACAACATAAATTGATAATATGAAAATGTTTTGTAGTTAGATATATATATATAAGTAAAAAATTATTGATAATATCAATGCACACGTACCGAAAAATTGTGTTAAAGCATGCGGAAGAATATCTCAAAGAACGTTTTGTGAAAATACCGTCAAGGACCGGTAACTCTGTAATTGATTTTGCGGGAAAATATGAATGCCTACTCGTATCCAATCTTAGAAAAATCGAATTTTTACAGAAAAGTGTCCACCATGCACTTGCATTGCACTATTTTTAGAATAGTAGAATAGAATGATATACAAATGGATTCAAATCATATATATATGTAACTGTTATTTTAATATAATATAAACAAAAACTCAGTGTATACTGATTTGTATCACTACAATATAATAGTTATTACGGTGAAGTTGAATTTCCTGTCATTTATTCATCATCCACGCACGAACTTGTCTCAGAAAAAAATATATCTCTGTACATTAACCTCAGTTTTAGGTAAAGAGATATGTTGTTTTTTTCTGAGACAAGTGCTTTTGACCATCCTCAAGAACTTGTGGTCATCCGATGTTCAGTACTTCAGTACTTTGATTTCAGTTGTGAGTTTTTCATTTTTATCTGGCAAAAGTGCAGCAAAATCTGCATATGGAATATATATCTCCTATGGATAATAAACTCCATAGCTTGCCATTTCTACTATGACCTATTTGATGGTTGCTGCTTACACGAAAGGTATTGAACCAAGGGTTTTCAATTGAACAGTCATCAAGATTTGGTTCAGCCATACAGATTATCTACGACAAAACTGTCCAAGGATGTGTTTTACTTGTCTTTACCACGATCGCGTCATCTTTTCCTCTTTTGAATGTGGGTTATCGCCGGATTGTCACTGCCATGTGGAACACGACGGATACTAACAGAATAGCAGGAACTGATAACCTTTCCGAGGCACCTGCTGAGTTGACCATCGTCTTTGGAGGGGTTCGAGTTTATAATTGTTGGTTTGGTTGTCAATGTAGTGTTTTGCCTGTTTGATATAATTTGGAATAATTTTAACAATAGGGCTACTTTAAAAAGTCCTTCAATCTTTATCGTTGATAGTTTGATATGTGTGAATTTAAACATTATTATGGCATATTTTTTAACAAATTATGCCGAAAGATGGCTAATAACGGCAATAAGACATTCTAAAACAAAACAAATATTCTAATGGATGGAAAGATAAGTTTTGTTTTTCAGATATAAATTAATTCATGTTGGTTAAGGATGTCCTTCAATGTACAATTTTACACAAACATGTCAAATTTGCATATTGTATCAAGACTTCAATAGTAATGTATAGCGATGTATAACATTCTGATGTTATGAATACTGTGTTTTGGACTCTTTTATGTTCGAATTCCAATATGTTTTGACAAGCTTGAGGTATTGGTCCTCTGAGTGAAATAATTTCAGTGGAAATGGCGCTACCTCTTACCTGGGCTCTGTGTCGTTATTATTAGATAAGGATTGTAGATCGACATAGTCTCCATTGGAATATTCGCACAAACATGGAGTCTTCTGATTACAAACATCTATAATGGGATGTGGATCATCTGAATAAACGTAACATGTCAATATGACAAGGGTGAAGAATATCAGCTGTGTGACGTCCGCCATGTTGGTCCAGAGTAAAGTATGCGTCCATATCACAAGATAATCTAAGGCATGTGATGTTACTGTATCAGTTTAACGCAGTGAGATAAACTAATCATTCTGCCCATTGTTTTGATTAATCAACGAAAACTGATAAATAATAATCAAGGTTCAGATTGTCCCACATAAATGAAACATTGTTTTTTTTAAATCAGAAGGAGAACAAGATGTCACGGTTGTAACCAAAAAATGGATTGGTGATGCAGTGATTCTATATTCATCGTTTAAGATTTTTAAAGTAGGTCTAATATGAAAAATACAATAAGAGATACAATGAGCAGGATATTCAAATTTCTCCTTCAAATATTTCATGTATTGCTCTCCTGGTAAAATGTTATAACTTAGTTATTTAAAATACTGTAAAACACATGCACTAATTTCTTACGCAGTTTCGAAATATAATACTTCCAAATATTCTTTTACAAGTTCAAGATGATCAATCTTTATCTTTTTTAAGCTCATAAGTCTAACGTTTATCATACCAAATGTTGTTTAGAAATATGTGTCGTACTGAATCAACTGTTAATCTGTAATCAATTTGTACTCATTGACAAATATATCTCTATTACTTTTTTATAAAACCCACATTTCAGTGTACGTGTTTTTGCATCTCATATATCCCAGTGGATACCACAGACACTAGAAGGTCTGATTCATCATCTTGATCTTTTCCTAGATATTGACAAAGATGGACGACTTTAAACTAGAATTATGACAAACGTAATGATTTCAACTTTCCAATTGCCAACTTCTCATTTCCCAGCAGGAACATACCCTCTGTCAAATCGTATGGCGTTCAATATTTCAATTGACACGTTACGCTCATGCATATTCACAGTTTCTAACTTCATTAGCAGGGTGTGCTTCTTAAACAAAAACTGTTCCATCAGAGTTATGAGGAAAAACGACTGATCTCGATACTACACAAGTTTTACATTTATCTTCACGAATTGGTAGATCGATTTGATATGCCTGTGTCTCAACTCACTAGCGATATGTTTTGCAGTCTTTGGATATCAGAATTGTCGTCTACTCTGTAATTTTACAGACTGTACAATTACCGATTGTGACAGCTTGACTGAGTGTGGCCTTGGATTGCAGTGAGGCATGCATGTCGACGCATCCGGTATTGCTCCTTTTAGAGTTTATGTGTTTTTGTTTGCTACCTTGATTTGTCTCCTAATCGATTTTTAAGATTTGGACATCGTTCAACTACTGTTCCTTAATTTATATTGTGGTAGAAACTATATATAGAATGGAAAATCAAATTGCCCCCGAATTTTTTTTCACATTATGGCTAATTTAATTATTTTTTTTTATGTTTTAAACTTAACTTTCACAGTTTCATGTGTGTACCGTACCTTAAGGCTGTAACAGCATTGTGCTGGGTTTCTGTTACATTTAATTAAATTATAATTGCTTGGAGATGGCTCTAAACTGCAATTTTGAAACGATTTTGCAAAAAAAAAAAAGAGTGAAAAGGACGTTCATTACCAAATCAAAATCTAATCAGATTATAATAGAGAATGGTAACTGGGAATGTGTCAAAGAGACAACAACCCGACCAAACAGCATGAAACACCTCAAGGCCACCAATGGGTCTTCTACGCAGCGAGAAACTTCCACACCTATTTTAAGAACTATGTTTTTGTCTTTCAGGTACTAATTTATTCCTCTGAATAAAACTTTCAGAGAAAATTAAGACAGGAAATCCATAATAATTTAATTTTGGATGTAACACGTCTTCTGATTGGCTGAAAGATTTTTGTCTATCAGCTCATAGACATAACTTTGTCATGTGAACGTGACGTCATCAACGTTTTTTCATGATTTACTCATTGAAAATTGAATTTAGAATTAGATTATAAGGAATGACTACTATTTTTTCTGTCTATTCGAAATATCCTCAAAAATGTGGTGCACACTTTTAAATAACCCACTACGCGGGTTATTCATTGTTCACCACATATTTTATGGTATTTCTTCATAGACAGAAAAAATATTACAGTCATTCCTTAAATAAGTCTACTCGCAAGAAAAGTACAAATTAAAAAAAAAAATTAAAAAAATTAGTGGGTAAAAATTTACCAAAAATATTTTTCCGATGAAAAGTAAGTTGCAATCTCCTCATTTATACTATATATATATATATATATATATATATATATATATATATATATATATATATAAATATATATATATATTGCAATCTTTAATTAGCAAATCTCTGTTCTTACAAATATTTTAACAAACCCCTCTATCGTTCTGTTTGGCTGAAGATTTTTGTACCGTCGTTTGTTTCAGCACGGTCTGAGTGATCATTGTCAACGAATTTGTTTTGTGTCTTTGGCTATTCGTCACTATAGTGAGATTTTGCTTTTACATCAGATTCAGGTTCATATCTTTCTTCATGATAAAATATAAATTTCGAATTATAGTTTCACTAATTTTTACTTGTGTTTAATCTCTAGATTTTGAATGGTCCTTCACGAAAATAGTTTGGCTAAGAAATGGACCTTCATACCTCAGTTGGTTAATGGTTTGACTTTCAGAGCTATCATATTTTGTTTCTTCTGTCTACGTTGACATCTCTCAAACTGATAAGCTTTGTACTTTTATACTTTTGTTTTTTTACACGATCTCAATGATAATACAAACACAAACACTATGAATGACACTGATTAAATGAAACAATGTCCTCTGATTCTCCTCTATGTACTTAAACGTAAATACAAAGAAAAACAGATATGGAGAAAATAAGTAAAATGATCAGGAAACAAAAGAACTGAGGATAGAGATACTGCTACTATTAAGGGGATAACATGGTGTAATGATGAAAGAGAACAAATTTGCTATTTCTAATATTTATCATAAACAGTTTAATATGTCCCTCAAAACCCCAAAATCACCGCACTGGTCTCTGCAACGATATCAAATCTACAACGAAAATGATAATAGTTAATAAAAAAAAAAACCCCACACACACACAAATATGTATATAAGTCTATCCTTAAAGATTTAGTCTTCTCACTTGTCTAGACGAGATCTAAAACCAAAGTAAGACACACATAATGACTTTAATATTGAAAGTGTATGTATAGGGAGAGTATTTATTAAGTCGCTAGTCATTAAACTGAGCGATATTTCTATGATAACAGGTATAAACACTGTTTTCACAGTGTATTCGACAAATGATTCGGATACGATATGCAATTATAATTAATTAAGTTAAAAGAAAAGCATTCCAAATATATTAAAACATATTTATCAGTAAATATTGAAGTATTTTTCGTTATTCTTTAAAACCGATATTTTTAAGTGCATAATTATTTGATTTAATTATAATTTCTTTAAATATAAAAGCAAGATGTTCACTGTTTACAAGGACTGCGAATGCATTATGAAGAAATTATCTAATTGATTTATTCGGTTTAATTATAATGGTTTGATTACGCCACGGTCACTGACAAACTGGAATTGATTTTGATTTTTGAATGACGTTATTAGCTTATACTGAGCAATAAGAGAACATATGTTCCTCTCACAATCATTCATTATGCATAGATACGAATTTTGTCATTTAATCTTATAAATCTGATTACCAATGCAAAAGGTTATATACTTTGATTGAATTTATGCCTTATGTATGTCAGTTCTTTACGGAATTAAACTGTTATCTGATTGATTTCATGGACAATACAATATGTAAAGAGTAGTCGTTCTATTGTAACATATTTCTATTAAAATATGTCGATACCGTTCGCAAAGAAAGTACGCCTTGTTTTAGATTAGTGTCTCTAAAAAAACTCTCAAAACAAATGCTAACGAGGGAAATATTTTGTTGAGCAATACTTTAGAATAAAGAAAATGTTTTTCCACATTCCAACAATGAATATTATGAAATTTGGGTAGAAGCTTCCTCTTTAATTAGATCAGGACAGCGTTAAAACACTCAGCAACAAATGAATAATATAATTTAAAAAGTCATACTAAATCCATTAGAGTGTACACAAACCTTTTTCAAAAGTCCTTCCTACTAATATAAAAATAAGGAGATGTTGTATGATTGCCAATGAGACAACTATCCACCAAAGTTCAAATGAAGTGGATGTAAGCATTTATAGGCAACCATACAGCCTCAACAAATGAGAAAAACCCATATCGTATAGTCGACCATAAAAGGCCCCGACATGAAAAATACGAAACAAATCCATTGAGAAAACTTACGGCCTAACTTATTACATAACAAAATTACAAAAAACAAATATGACAGACATGAACCAGTGACAACCACTGAACTACAGGCTCCTGGCTTGGGACAGACGCATAAAGAATGTGGCGGGATTAAACAGGTTTGAAGGCGCAAACCCTTCCCCTAGGCTGTGACAGTGGTGTAACAGTATAACATAAGAACAAACTATAAAAATCAGATGAAAAGGACGACTACAATATAAGCAGAAATAGTTTTCGGAAGAACAGACGACTACAGTATAATGCGAACAAGTATCCAGGAGAACAGACGACTACAGTATAATGAGAACAAGTATTCTGATTAAGAATAGAAGACTACAGTATAATGAGAACAAGTATCCTAATTGAGAATAGAAGACTACAGTATAATGAGAACAAGAATCCTGATCGAGAATAGAAGACTACAGTATAATGAGAACAAGAATCCTAATCGAGAATAGAAGACTACAGTATAATGAGAACAAGAATCCTGATCGAGAATAGACGACTACAGTATAATGAGAACAAGAATCCTGATCGAGAATAGAAGACTACAGTATAATGAGAACAAGTATCCTGATCGAGAATAGAAGACTACAGTATAATGAGAACAAGAATCCTGATCGAGAATAGAAGACTACAGTATAATGAGAACAAGAATCCTGATCGAGAATAGAAGACTACAGTATAATGAGATCAATTATCACGAAGAACAAGTATCCGGTAAAACAAAAGACTACAGTACAATGACAACAAGTATCCTGGAGAA